CAGCTGTGGGATCCTCAAAGCGTATCTGTATGCACATTATTAGCTTATCTCGGGCTCATTCCGTATGTCACGGAGGTTCAGAAAGGAGAAAATCCCGAAAACTTAGACTTACGTCAAACCTGCGTAGCAGACTTGGAACAAGCTTGTACACCTCGAGCAAACTGATATTCTTGCCAATGCATGTTCGACTTCCCATGCCGAATTGCACCATGTTTGCATTCATCTTCTTGATTTTCTCCTCCATTATAACCCTCTCCTCATACTCCAATCCTTCCTCCACCAACCACCTTTCCGGGCGAAAGACATCTACATCCTCGCCGAAGATCTCAGGGCGGCGATGAATGACCCATGCAGAACATCCGACGATGGTACCGCCCTTGACGTGATGCCCAGCGATTTCAGCACCAGGTTCTGGAACGATGCGCTCCATGGGCAGCCCCGGAGCTGGATGCATTCTGAACGCTTCCTTGATACAAGCATCGAGGTATGTGAGCTGCTGGGCCTCCGCCCACGTCACAAGGCCCGTCGTGGTATCTAAAAAGACCCCACGCCTGGTGAACTCATCGAGCTCATGTCTGAGTCGTTGTAGGGCCGAAGGATTGCGAAGGAGGTAGTAAAAAACTGCCGAAAGTGTAATTGCGGTGGTTTCACTACCAGCGAAAGCCATGCTGACTGCCATCGTTTGGACAAGCCTGTCTGTCATAAACTCTGGCCGAGCTTCCTTCGCGGCAATGAATTTAGATAGAAGGTCCATTCTTTGGGTTCCTGCTACTGGTTTTGGCGATGAAGATTGTGCGCTGTTACCGTCAAGGCGCTCCTTCATTCGAGCTACTGCAAATCGAGCAACAGGAAACGTCGAGTCAATAATCTTGAGATTAGAGAGAAAGAGATAAATTGGATTCTTAAGAAGCAACCTGTCCAAAAGGGGGATTTGGCCAACCTAATTGCAAGTTTAGGGCTCAGCTGCGAAATGACAAGCGTAAAGAGAGATCACTTACTGGAGCGACGTACAAGAACAGCTTGCCTAGATATTCGACGATGCCATCGACATCTTCATTCTGGGCCACGAACCCATGTCGTTTGCCGTATGTAATCTCTCCTATTACATCAAATGCGTAAAATTGCAACCACTCTGTGAAATCACAAGGCACATCTCTGGCGGCGAATAGGCTCTCAGTTTGATCTAGAAACAGCCTTGTCGTGTTGTCGACAGCAGGTTCGTACTGTACGAGGGCGGTCATTGAAAATGCAGAGTTGACACATCTCCTGAATTGAGCGTGAAAGGTGTTGTCCGTGGTGCTGAACAGTGATGGCTGGGGATGGCCTTGTGCGATGGGTTGTTGTACCCGGTAGAAGTCGGACTGGTGCGCCGTTGTAAGTATGGGCTTTCAATCAAAAAGGCTTTGTTGAAAGGAAGAATTACTTTGATGAAGCCTTTATTTAGGCCATAGATTGACTTCAAGGCGTCTGGGTTGGCGAAGGATAGGTAGTTAGGTCCCAGTCGGACAACATCACCATGCTTTCTGTGCAACTTCAAGTGTGTCACCTCTGGCCTTCGCCGGTAGACATCCCAGAATCTCCACCAGTCTGTGAACGACGCAAGAAAAGGTCCAGGATACTTATGAAGACCATGGTGAAACTTGTTTTTGATGCACAGACAGAGCACTGCTGAGAGACAAACCAACACCCAAGGGTGCGTTGTCAACGCTGCCGGAATTGCGCTATCCGATAACTTCATGGTGAATTTAGCCTTGAAGGTTTGTCTTGGCGGGATTTTTAAACAATAGAAAAGCAAACAAAATTTGAAAAGCTAGATTCATGGAGAGAATAGAAATCGAAATTTATCATGACGTAGAAAATTGGTTACATTCCGAGGAGGGGTTCGGATATTCAACTCCGTGTAATGAGAATGTGATGGCCTACCCAAATGTCATCGGAATCGGAAAATTTGCGACGTATTAATGATAACGATACTGGTACTTTTAGACAGAGTGTCTTGGTAGCTCATTTTTCCTGCTTACACACCCTGAGGATGGATATGGCCCGGCCAACACTCCGGGTCAGCCGATTTATGTATTGATAAGATCGATCAGTAATCTTGTAGAATTCTGGGAGAATCAGGTATACAGGAAGTAAATAGCTGGAGTATTAAGCATCATTTACTTTCAAAATTTCCTCTTTTAGGTAAACTGGAATATTAATCCTTGATTCTCCGAGAAGTGTAAACCAGCGGGCAGAAGGCTTGGTCATAATGGGTTGCCATCCGTATCCCCCACTCAGCCGAGAGGAATACTGGGTATTATTGCTCTGTCCGATAAATTCGCTGGATTGCCCAATTGCCCAATTGTGAGAAAGGTTTTATTAGATCTCTCGTTTGCTGTTTAATACGCAAACAACTGAACGCGTAGGAATCTTATCGTAAACTTGCTGCTGCGCTCTGCGACACTTGTATCAATATGCTATTCATGCTCCTCTGGGCCTTACCAATACTTAGGGGCACAAGCCCTCAAGTCGGAGATACCCAACGTACAGGGGGTATTGAAAGGGGAGAAGGCAAAATAGGTATGCAAAAGACCCTACAAGATAAGCTCTTGTCTACACAACTTTTTGATTGCAAATTAATAACAATAGACCAAAAGCAGCATTTTATTCATCGGCTGAGCAAACAGTTTGTTCGTGCAATTAATTGATTGATTGATGAAACGGAGTTGCGGACCGCTTCAATGGTTTCAGGTATTAAGCTGGGGTGATGTCTCCTTGCAATCTCAGAAACACCTGTCTCCAACCTGAAACAAGATGATGGCGCTTGACACGCCGGCAGCCAGCCGACACATCTGGATCTTTCTTCAAAGTCTGTAGACTTCAAGGCATTATTCAATGGAGTGCTTCACCCAATGCATGCGTTGTTTTTGATATTGACGGCAGGATAATGGGCGTAATGGATGCCGCGGTTTTACGGTTTAATTTCTCGTTAATAGAAAACCCTTGATGGGAAATTAAAGAGTAATGGTGAAGAATATGAAGATCGATCTTCCGATTATCTAGGGACTTGCCGTTCTATCCGACTGGCCGGAGGAAGAGGCCAAGCGAGTTTGAGATATGTGCACATATTTCCCGAAAGAGCAAGGAATTGGTGCTCCGAAATAGCGGCCGTCATTTTAGGAAATAGAAAGATCTCATTCATTTCAATCGGAAAACTTATTTAAAAGATAAGTTGGCTCCGGGAGCTGCAAGAAAAATATGTTCGCTAGTCCTCATCCCTTCCTTTAACGATCATTCTTTTCATTCATCCTGCTGGAACAAGATGTTTTACCAACCCACTGTTTTGGCCCTGGTGGCTCTCGCTGGTTTCGCCAATGCTCAAGTTTCCGACGACTTTGAAAGTGGCTGGGATGAGACGAAATGGCCGATATACGCACCAGACTGTAACCAAGGTGGCAGTGTGACTCTTGACAACACCGTTGCCCACAGCGGTAGCGCGTCTATGAAGGTTGTCGGTGGCTCGGGAGGTTTCTGCGGACACATCTTCTTCGGCACCACGTCTGTTCCAACTGGTGGTGATATTTACGTTAGGGCATGGGTGTATGTCTCCTTTTATTCAAATTCCCTGCATCGTGAGGCTACTGAATGACATACTGACTATCCACTGTCCATTTGTAGGAAGGCAAATACTGCCCTGACCGCTAGCCACGTCTCTTTCATCACAATGACTGACTCTGGTCTGGGAGATAATAAGCATCTTCGCATCGGTGGCCAGAGTGAAATCCTCATGTTTAACCGGGAGACGGATGATGTCACGCTTCCAGCCCTATCCCCCCAGGGAATCGCAGCCTCCAAGGCTCTTCCCACCGGTGATTTCCAGTGCCTCGAATACCATTTAGGAACAGACGGCACCATAGAGACATGGCTCAACAGCGAAAGCATCTCTGGACTTCAAGCCGGGCCAAATGCCAACAACTCCAATGCTGACCAGTGGGAGAGTGCTGGTTACAAGCCAGCCATCACCGGTATCTACTTCGGCTGGGAGTCTTACAGTGGCGACATCAACACGTTTTGGTATGATGACATCTCCATTGGCTCCAGCCGGGTAGGATGCGGTGCTACTGATAACAGTGGTCAGACCACTACATCTGTTAGCGAGGCTCCCAAGACGACCTTGACGACAAGTACCAAGGCTGCTAGCACCTCTGCTGGAGTGACTACCACATCCACGGCCTCAGAAATTGTCCCTACCACGTCCGTGGAAACTTCTGAGCCATCCAGTGTATCGCAGTCTGCTGTATTGAGTTCCACTGCCACGCCGAGCTCTACTATCCCCGACTCAACCACGTCTACTTCCACCTCGGCTTCTTCTACTCCCACGAGGTAAGCATCGATTTCCAGCAAGATAACGTTGTTCATTGTTACCAAAAGAACAATGACTAATTGTTGATAATAGAAAATGCTCCAAGAACAAAAAGCGAAGAAACCACTTCAAGTAGAGTTGTAGAAACCTCACTGGGCTAGGCTCCCGATGTACTCGCTATAGCTCTGTATTGTATATAGGGAGAGAATTATTTTGGATGGCATTTTTGATGCTCGGGGGGCGTCATTCCGCCCGTGTTGCTATTGTGTTGGGCTGGACCCTTGTATTTTCCTTTTTAGCATGCCAACTCACTCAGCATAGAAAGAAAATGAGCTATCAGTCTCTCAATGAAGATGAATGAAAGTAGTTAATTTCTGAAAGAAACATAGCAAATATCAATTACTATGGCGTGTATACTAAGCTCATTTTGTATCCCTAGACTAAAGAGAGAAGAGGAAGAAGCAAAGAGGCCCGTCTAATGGGTGGTTAATCCTAGACCCTGAATCTAAACCGCCTGTATAATGTATCTTATTTATCATCAAACGAAGACGAGACTAAAATGCCGAGTAGCCAGCTAACATAATATTGGATTCTCGTACATGAGAATTGTTTTTTTGTTAACTAAATGATCCCGTAGAATCTCTCACATGGATATCTATAGTAGTGAAGTCGCTGCTTCCGATTCGCTTTTTCTGTTTGCCATGAGGTTCAAAGCACTTCCAGCTTTAAAGTACTCAACCTGCTCGGAGGTCATGGAGTGATTGAGTTTGGCCGTCCATGGGAGCCTGTTCCCCACGGTGGGAGTGCACTGCAGAGTAAGGCTCTTGCCGGGAGCAATCTCGCTAATTCCGAGGATGCTGATACGATCAGAAGAGTGGATGCGATCATAGTCTTCCTCGTTGGCGAACGTAAGGGCCAAAACACCCTGCTTTTTCAGGTTCGTCTCATGGATCCGAGCAAAACTCCGAGCGATGATGGCAAGGCAACCTAGAAAGCGTGGCTGGAGCGCAGCGTGCTCACGCGAGGATCCCTCTCCATAGTTGTAGTCTCCGATGACAACCCACGGCTGGCCGAGGTTTTTATAAGCCCTCGCCGTTCCAGGGGTATCACCCTCTTCGCCAGTGATCCAGTTTGTGACCGAATTAGTCTGATCATTCTCTGCGTTAACGGCACCGATGAGTGTGTTGTTTGAGATGTTATCCAAGTGGCCGCGGAAACGGAACCAAGGTCCGGCAGGTGTGATGTGGTCGGTCGTGCATTTACCCTTTGTCTTGATCAGGATCACGCAGTTTTCAATATCACCCTTTCGTCCTGGTGGAAATGGGGAAAGCCGCTGCAATCTGTCGGAAGATTCGGGTATTTGAACTTGAATATTGTCCCGTTCGCTTGAACTTGAGGGCGGTTTGGTGAAGACATAGTCTGTGTTGGCATAGCCACCTGCAGGCAGAGGCTCGCCTTCAGGTGGTGAGAAGCGAAACTCCGAGCCATCACCTTTCTCGATTGAGTCTTTAATTGGGTTGAATCCAAGATTGTCTGAGAAAATCTTGGCCATGACCATCTCAGGCGAGGAGAGGAAATTGTATGTCGCCGGGTTGCCGTCCAGACGGCCAGTGAAGTTTCTGTTATACGTGGTGATGATTGAGTTCCGTGTACCCTGCACACCGTTTTTGTTAGAGTCTTTGATACAGATCTGATGAGCGTCTTACTCGCCTTTTCCATTCCCTCGCGGTCAAATGATCCACAGCAAGGCCCGCATGCATTTGGGAGAATCGTGCTGCCTAGCTCTTCAAACACTGCTAACGCTCCGCTCGCTCGAAGGGTTTCTCTCGTCTGCTCAGAGCCCGGAGAGACGAAAAGAGGCATTTTGGGCTTGAGACCAGCTGTGAGTGCTTGCTTGGCCAAGTCTGCGGCCCGTGTCATGTCCTGGAATGACGAGTTTGTGCAGGACCCTATGAACCCAGCAGTCAGCTTTGGAGGCCAAGATTCTTGCGTTGACACGTCGCCAAACTTGGAGATGGGGGTCGAGAGGTCCGGTGTGAAAGGCCCGTTGATATGTGGCTCAAGAGTTGATAGGTCTATCTCAATGACCTGGTCGTACTGGGCTCCCTCATCTGCTCTGAGCTCATTTGCGGCGAAATCCGCAGCGGCCGCAATTTCATGTCGGTGCGTAGCCTTGAGATATGAGTTCATCGCATCCGAGTATGGGAAGATGGAAGTAGTTGCCCCAGTCTCGGCACCCATGTTTGTGATTGTGCACATTCCCGTCGCTGACAGAGACTGGGTCCCGGGGCCGAAAAACTCAATGATGTTTCCCGTTCCACCTTTCACTGTGAGGATGGAAACTAGCTGGTTGATCACATCTTCGAAGACATTAGATGTTTGTATTCAGTGAATAAGAGGGAGTCTGCTTTACCTTTGGGGGCCGTCCAATCTGAAAGCCGTCCCGTCAGCCGGACTCCAATAACTCCAGGAGCCTTTAGTTCGAACGGCAGACCGGCCATAACATCCACAGCATCTGCTCCGCCTACACCGATAGCCATCATTCCCAGGCCACCGGCGTTAGGGGTATGAGAATCCGCGCCAATCATCAAGCCCCCAGGGAAGGCATAGTTCTCCAGAATGCTCTGGTGTATGATACCGGCGCCAGCCTTCCAGAAGCCAATGTTAAAACGTTTACAAGCACTTGACAGAAAGTCGAAGACTTCCTTGTGCACGTTCAGGGCATTAGGCAGATCGACATTGTGACCCTTCTTTCCCACAATCAAATGGTCACAGTGAACGCTTGTCGGGGCTGCTGTTGAGCTCAGACCGGCAGACATAAACTGAATTATGGCCATTTGAGCAGTTGCATCCTGGCAAGCCACTCGTCTGGGACGGAGCTTCAGAAGAGTTTTCCCCCGCTGCAAGGGTTCCTCCTCTATGTTGTCCATATGGGCCACCAAAATCTTCTCGGTATACGTTAGAGGTCGGTTATTGCTAGGTTCTTTGTAAGTCATCTCTGCGTACGATAATTTTATGCCCAGAAGAGCGCCGCCAAAGGAACTCACAAGCTGCGGCCCAGCTCCACCCTTCTAATGAAATCGCCATAATCGATATACTGGTCTGGTTCAAACCTGCTAAGAGGCGCTTTGCCAGGAGTGCTCCCACTGACAGTACTGAGCTTTCTCAATTGTGCGTATTGGGATTGGAGACACAGACTCTGGCGACGGCTCCAAGCCTGACCAAGCATTGGACGGTTCATCATGCTCGGTCCTTCTCAGCTGCTGTATTTCTACGCTATCCAGGGATCATTTCTACTGATGGTACGAAGAACTCTTTTATTACCATGGGATATTTTTCTTGTGAACTAGTGTTCGGCTTCCAGACTAGTTCTCTGCAATGCATCAGTCGAGTTCCGAGGTCAGAAATCGGCTGACTGAACCTCGGTAAACGTTCTCCTGAGCCAGCTTTGGGGTGAGAGTCCCCGCACACCGGCTTGGTCGACGCCCTGCAGCATGCTTACTCCTGGCCTGGAAATGCCAAGTTCAACGCGATAAGCAACGCAAGTGTACTGGGACGAATAAATCCCTTGGTCCGTTCGCGACAATGACCAGTAGTCGGTTCGATACGCTAGATAGAACAACAAGCTCCTCCAGTCACGAATCCCAAGGCCATATTTCAACTATGTAATCACAGTTCATCGTAAATTCATAACCCGATGTGTTGTTTAGCCACTCATAATTCTGGCCGTCGACACGGGATAATTCTCGTCTCCATGGTCAGCGGTTGGTTCCAGGGCCAGAAGGCTATACAACATCCGTCTCTATTGATGGTCAATTAGAACTGGCTATATACAAATATAGAGTGCCAACCTCCTCGCAATCATTCCTTCGTCAGCATGCCCAGATTCTTCATTAGTCTATCATGATCACCAAACTGCAGCGTATATGGCAATTAAAGCGTCAACCCGCAACCCCACTCAGAGGAGTCAAATAATTACTTTCCACCAAGCAATCCCAAGGCATTCGCAGATCTGATAGCTTGGACCTTGGTTTGATCGTCGAAGACCTGTCCAATAACACTCTCAAAGCCAGTGATACCGGCAGCGCCGGCAGCCCATGAAGTGAAGGGCACGTCTGAGCCAGAGAGGATGTTTGTGTAGTTCACCCATCGGAGAAGTGGTGGGATCGAGTAGTTCACGGGCCACGGCCCAGCGAGATCAAAGTAGAACTGAGTGGACAGGGCTTCCTTGAGGGTGTCCGCGGTCAAAGTCGCACCGCCAGGGTACAGGACTGGGTAGAGGAGGAGGCGGTCCAGAGTCGGGATAAGGCCGCCTCCCGCATGAGGGATAATCCAGCGGATGTTGCTGAACCGGGCGGGCACATCAGAGAGGAAAAGGTCGGCGACGGTGCGAGCTGTGTCGAAGGGAAAGTCAAGCAGAGGTGCCGTGAGCATACGGTCGGCAATAGGACGGTTGAGGGCCTGCCACTCCTGTTGCGAGATTTTAGGATCCTTTTTGTCGTCAATCTTGTACTGCTTGTGGTTGTGCACGGTGCAAGGCGTGGTCGGGTGCTCAAAGATTGTCACGCCAAGCTTGTTGAGGGCTTCATAGACGGGGTCGAGCTCTGGGTCGCCGAGGTACAAGCCATAGTAGTTGGACATGACCACGATCCCATCCGGCTTGGGGTTCAGCTTATTGAAGCAGTACTTGATCTCTTCAAGGGATGCCTTGACATCAGGGAGGGGCAAGGATGCGAAGAAGCCGAACTGGTCTGGATACTTGGCCTTGAGCTTGGACCCGTATTCATTAACCTGACGGGCAAGCTTGATGGCCTTGGCCGTTGCCGCCTTGGATGGGGGAGTGAGGTACACGCCAGGGCTAGAGATTGACAGGTACGACTTGGAGATGGATTGGTTCTTCATGAACTGGAGATGAGTCTCCGGGTCCCATTCCTGAGAATCAGTTAGTACAGATTTCCATTTGTATGCAAGGACGAGGGCGAACCGGAATTGCGGGCATGCCATCCGGGCCCGGAACATGACCGGCGTCACGGAGGGCTTGCTGATAGAAGTCAGGGAGGTAGTGAGAGTGTGTATCAACCCTCGACTGAGCGTAGGCTCCGAGCACGGACGCCATGGAGCAGATGGCGGTGGTAAGAATGCTGGACTTCATGACTGCAATCTAAGACTCTTGCGTCTCACTGCATGAAAAAGAGATCTTGCTTGATGTGCTGCCGTGGGATGGTCCGCAGGGGAGTGTTCCGTTATTATGAAGGGACAACAATCTGCAGCAGTGACACTCGGCTGACTCCTTGATTGTCTAGCGTGTGGCTGCCGGCTATACATATAGCACGTTGTTAATCCCCTGGCTTTGTATTCCCGGGCATGGCGCTTGAGAAAAGACGACCTGCCAAGGACCTCCATCCCTGTAGTGCTTTGAGATTATTGAACGGCAGGATGGGGCCGGAGGATTCCGCTGAGCGGATTCGCCGCTCTGAAGCCTGGGGAATGGTCCCATAAACATGTACGTATGCTTGATGAAAGAATATTAGCCCGCCTCAGTAGCCCAAGCTAAAGGCCGGCCCCAGAATGTTTGTTGGGCGGACCGCAACAGGCGGACCTGATGGTTCCATCAGCTCGAATCAATAGTTTGACTGGCTTGGACATGATAGCAAATCGCAGCGTCGGTAGCCATGGTAAGCGATATCCGGCTGAGCCGAGTTCCTGGTAGTTCGCTGCAGGTTATTATTTGCAACCTACGGAGTACAGGCTTCAGCTATGAGCGAGATGAGGCTGGCCTGAATCCTCTGCAAATTAGCCATGAATAATGAGTAGGGACAGTGCATAAGCATACTGGTGTCGCTACGATTGCCTTGTGAGGCTAGCATTATTAGTTCCATGCCAGTGAAGACAGGTATGCCCCAAAGGAAAATATAAATTGATGTTAGTTTGACGAGATGAATCAAGCTGTAGGAGTTGTTCGATTGAATACTAGGAAATCATGCTGAGATTCACCAGCCGATTGATTAAGCTTCACCTTGGCCTTGAATGATCGTCTGGACATGATCGTCTGGCAAAGATGGCGCAATCTTTTTAGTGCTGTGGACTCGAGTGCACATAAAAAAACGCCATGAGACTGGGGAACCCAGCGCTGAGGAAATGCAATGCTATGCATGAAACAAACCGTCAACCCATGAGCCCAGTCCATTGAGCCGAACAAGATAACACCTCCGGTGGACCAATAGTAGCCGTGCCATCACGCTTGACCTGTCAAGGATCGCGACCGCTTAGGAATCTTGGAGGCGTGATTTTGGAATACGCTGGGTGGCCGGATCTCGACGCGAGCACGACCAGGGCCACGACCGCGGCACATTTCCGGCGCCCTGCAACGTCAGCACTTGTTTGTATGCACCCTCTATGCTGCAGGGAAGGCCATCAGGTGGGTGGCATAGAAAGTGGCTCACTCTAATCGCAACGTTGTATGTATGTCGGTTAAAGTTATAGTATTCCCCGATGGGTGACTGCAGCTGCAATAATAGACGAGCAGGAATATTTATATCTCCTTATAGGTACTTGTTCATTGTTATATTGCCTGTTATACAGACTGCCAAAACCCCATTTCACACCAACCTTTGATGATGTGACCTCTCCAAACGATGGCCTTGCGCCAAACCGTCACCCCCTCTTGCCAGCCACTTGTCTCCTTCAGGAAGCCTAGAAACCCTTGTGGTGGCTCGATGCTAGCCTCCGTCGAGCGTCGCCACGACAGGCATTGATCAGCTTTGTTAACCGTGTAGGAGACAGCTCAAAGCAGGGACCGGGGTAGGGGTGCTGACTAGTGATCTCCGTGGAAGGCCCGCCTATGAAATCCCCAGTAGGTGGGTGGCCAACCCTCGGGTTGTCTGGTGATTATTTCCACCGAGATTTCTCTTCGGATTCAGGGGGCTTCTATTCGAGTCTAGGCGATAGAATGTTTCGACGCATCCGAGCTGAGCAAACCCCCTTGGCCTCTAGGGGGATCATCAGAGATTTTTCTTGGCTTGGGGTATAACAACCCACGACCCCACTTGGCCCCCCTCGAGATCAACACGATTTCTCTATCCATTTTCCAATGGGTCTCGGTCCCGAAATATTCCAACTCCGAGGGCATAATGTATATCGGCAGCATCTATGTCCCCCCTCAGAATTACCCCCTGATTGGGGTCGGGTTCACCTTCACCATTCTTGGTGTTGTCACTGTCTGCTTGAGGGTATTCACAAGAGGATGGATGATCAAGCACTTTGGAACCGACGATGCTCTCATCGTATTCTCCGGTGTAAGAGTTTCTCCAAGTCGCACCAAGGCAGTTGTCATGATGAATTTGAGCGCTAATGCTTGACCGGATGCTCATCAGCTGAGCTCCATAGGGTTCTTCGTCGCGGCCATGGAGCGTATGTACTCTGCCAAAATTCCTCTTTCCGTACCTAAGTTATTCGAAGATAGAATGGCAACGCTGACAATATCAAAATAAGAGGTCCGGTATGGCCTAAACCAACCCGCCGATCCCGACCTCGCCGCCCCCTTTCAGTTGGCCACCTACGCCAGCATGACTTGCTACAACATCTGCCACCTATTCGTCAAATTGTCGATCGCGCTGCAGTGTCTGAGGGTCTTTACGACGCCAACCGCAAGGCGCGTGTTCCTCGGCCTGCTCATCTACCTCGCAATATATGGCCCGTTCTGTGTACTTATGTCCGTTTTCACTTGCTGGCCAGTCAATAAATATTGGGAAGATTCTGTAGAAGGCAAATGCCTTGACCGGGTGACTTTGCGCCTTGCGTTTGCCGGAGTCAATATTTTCAACGACCTTGCCCTCGTGTGTGCACCCTTGCCCTTGCTCAACAGGCTACAAATGGCGGCCAAGATGAAATACATTTTGATGGGAGTCTTCGCTGCTGGCGGCGTGTAAGTCTCCCAATCTAATCAACCCTAATCAGCCCTGCCCCTACTGACGTTGTTCTTCTTTTCAGTGCATCTGCCGTGGCTATTGTTCGATTCTACTCCCTGTGGTCTTTTGGACAAGTTCCTTTGACTGAACGGCCGTGTATGAACCCCTTGTCCCCCTCTAGGAGCGAAAAAATCATTTACTCATCGGTGATATAGCAAAGGGAATGGAAATCGCGCTCTGGTCCTGCTTGGAGAGCAATCTTACCATCATATGCGCCTGCGTACCGTCTCTCAATCCGCTCCTCATCAAGCTGCTCCCTGGTTTCATCACCTCCTCTGGGAGGTCAAGATCGCTCGGCCAGGGCTACACTCCAAATCACAGGACTCCTCTCAGCCGGGCCAATTCTTCTTGGAGGAGAAGTCGTCGAAATCAAGACCCCTCAGATTCAGGGGCTGACACTGGGCCCAAGGGAATCCAGGTGGAACAGTCTTTCGAATTGGGTCATATTGTCATCCCTGACGATGATAGTGAGAAAAATCTCGTTACGAGCACAGCGACGGCGCAATATCACTCAGAGATTTCCATACAGGCCGGAAAATCAAATGCTAGATAGAGGGCTTAATTCACATAACAGCCCAAGCTTGACGCCTGAAACGTTTGATTGAATTGAAAAGTACATCCAACTTAAAAAGAAACATCCATAAAGGCGAAGTGCTATCCTGTGACTTGCATAAAATCCGGTCAAACGAAGTTTCATCAACCTGTAGCTCAAATACGCCTGCAGCATTAACCTGGTGTGCTCCCTTGTAGTGAGATTACCCTATAGCGAGTTCATTTCGAGTTTCAATGTTTGGGTGAAGGGCAAGTGTGGTTTTGCGTTTGATTTGTTGTGCCGTTTGAAAACAAGATATGTGTAGAAATAGATTCTGATTTAGAGCAAGATAGCAGGCCTTCGGGCTATGTGAGCCGACAATTTGGACACTTTATATACATTATCATATGTCTTTGAGTTCGTCAAAGATGTTGGACATTTTCTAAAGAGCCATAATTTCCAATGCCCAGCCAATCATGCCGCATAGCATGAAGCCGATGAATATCTTGGCCTGGGGAAATCCAGGTCCACCAAATTCCGGGTCCAGTCCGTTTGCCTCGGGGAAAAGACTGGCGCACAGCCCTGCCAGCCAGTAAATGCTGCCGCATATCATGGCAGTAGTGAGAGAGTCTTTAGCAGCAGCTCTGCCCGTTGTGCGGCGCCAGCTATAGTACAGCGTGAGGGCGCCAAGCATGATGGAGAGGGTGATGGTCTGTCCGTTGTGGAACCTGTGAGTACATGGTGAAGTCAGGACACGTTTTCTCCCAGCACGGGCCGTCGAAAGACAGTGGAGCTCCGATTGCTTACTTTGCGTGTGGTGGCCATCGCGGGTTGTATTGATGTGTCTCGTCCATGTCCGCGATGACAGCGCCGACCAGCAGACCGACAGCGTCTATGGTTAGCAGACACTTCCCGATCATAATGAGCGATATCCAGGATCCAAGCTTCAGTTTGGGATTGTGTACGATGAGAAGGTTGGGCTCGAGCAGACTGGAATAAATATAGCTAGATCGTCACTTGTTTTATACTTTGACCTTCTATACCTCATCTAATCATCATGATTGCATAAGCTGCGCGCGCTTCAGCAATCTAGGCCATAAACCATTTCGGCCCCGGAAATAACATACCGGCCACTTGTTGCTTTCAGTATTACTTTGCCGGTTTAAGGTACCTAATCAGCCAGTAAGGGCGTTTCTCCGCTTTTCGGCATCACAGAAACTAAGCCCGTGCCCGTTTGTAGGGCCGAAGTATCACCCACCCAGCTGACAAATGTTGACAGTCACTTCCTGAAACACGAGAGCAATTCGAACTTCAGGAGGACTTATATTCATACTTGGGTGGTTCTAGATCTCCTAGCACCGTAGAATATTGTATTCAATCTCGTTATTGCCATGCTTTGTTTTACTACATGCCACACAATGTGAGAGTACTCTACACTCACCAAGATAAACATGCGAAAAGGCCGCTCACCTCAAGGCAGGCCGTCGAAAGGATCGTTGGCAATATTGCCGAAGACAAATCTAAAATCTTTCAGTTGTATTCATCCATTATTTCACCAAGAAGATGCGTCGCAATAACTGAAGCTGCTCCGGACTGCGAGAAAGCCTTTGCATCAGGATGAGGTAAACTTGGCCTCCACGATCGATGCTTGCCATATTACTACGAAGGACACCACGCGAGACACTCAGAAAATAATTGCTTAGACTGCCCAATGCAATTTCCAGTTGCGGAGATGGAGCATCAAATTATCTTAGAATCACGGCCTGATCACTTCTGGATGTTATTTGGGCAAACACCGAAGACTGGCTCCAGATTGTTGTTACTATGTTGGGTGAATTTCATTCTTTTTACCGAAGCATCTCACTCAGCACCATGCTCACTTAACTTGCATGTCAGAGTAGGAATCTTGTATTGGATTGTTCCATCCGGTAAGAAAATATGCGACGTGATTGGATGGATGTATGCGGGAGGCCCTCCAAGTGAGACGAGGTGTGATGCCCTAAAAACGAGGCATAACTCCACCACCCGCTTCACACTCACTCCTCACCTTTTTTTCTTTTCCCTTCTTTTCCCTCTTGCCACATTTTCAGTACTGGTCTCTTTGCCTGGAGCCGTTACAGTAGATTGAGTGCAGTTTAAACATTTCTACTTTCCGCGACTACAACTTCAAGATGAAGACTCTCATGGCGACTGTCACGGAATGTCTCTGCGGCGCATCTGCGAATCCGAACCTCCCACACTCCCAAAACCGTCTCGAACTGATTTCCGAAAAGCCCGTCTTCTCGCCCTATACTGACGACGAGCGTGTTGACCAGTTCGTTGAGATCATCCGCATGGCCGAACTGGACGACCCTCATCTTCTCGAGAAACTCAACAACACCATCTCTGCCTCTGGATGGAAAGATTCTCTGTCCGAGTCTATTCTCCACGGCATAGAGGTAATTCTGAAAAATGGGACGGCAATGGGGGAGGTAATGACTGAAGCTGTCAAACGCGCAACGAATCTAGCTCGAGAATTCGCCGAGCAGCACCCCATTTATGCCGCACTCATTGCCGCCGGCACCATCATTGCCATCGGTGTTCTGGTCATCATGGGTCCCGCATGGGTTCTAGAGGCTTTGGGATTCGCATCCCGAGGACCGCGACTCGGTGAGTTTGTATTCTGTCGTTGTGATTGGAAGCCCGCTAACTGACTTGGCTGGAACAGGCAGCTTCGCCGCACGTTGGATGAGTCGCATTGCAAAAGGGGAGCAGGGCCAGGTGGTTCGAGGTTCTTTGTATGCTTATCTCCAGAGACTTGGCATGATACTTAAATAGCCTGCCCGTTTCTCCGGGAGTCAAGGGATACGAACAATATCGGCCTAGACACCTCTTCTGTCCCCGGAGCAATGGTTGTTGGGCTTTTGCTCTCGCTGGAATTTGACTTGACACAAGTCCTTGACGGTAACCCTTTCACAATGTTGTTTACCACTGCCGGTGCGTACGCAGTGATCACGAAATTGGGATTGATAATTTGAATTGCCGGAATTCTGGCAGTTAGCTATTCTTTCCTAGTACTGTGATTTTTCCACTTCCATCTGTAGCCCTCGACAACCTATGTAATGATACTCTCCGAAGCACTCCACACATGAACCGATTTTAATCATCTGCCCTGTTCCGGAAAGCCTCCCAAGCTTCGGCGGTATAGCACTCTAAACAATCATCACACAGTCCGCATCCACCGCATCCTGGCGCTGTCCAGGAGCCCGTGTAAGGATCGACATACCAGTCGGCGCCCCTCTGTGGAAACGGCCCTGTCTTGAGATCGTGCCTGTCCGGCATGGCGGGAAATCGGCTTTCTCCTGGGGGATGTGCCTGGTTCGCCACTGTAAACACGTAGACGCCATGCTTTTTGCCCGCTGCAATTGCTTTCTGGAACGAGACCACGCTTCTTGGTTCGTCCACCCGCCTTTCAACCCGGTCGAGGTAGATGACTTCGAGATTCGGGTATCGCCCACTCTCGAGCATGGCGACGACTGCATCGTCGATCGTTTCGTTCTCCTCGTAAGGTCCCCTGTTGAAGTACTCTCTGTTTTCTTCCTGGCCATGGATGAGTAGCACCTCCAGGCTCTCAGGGAGCCCAATGACAAATTGACGAACGAGGTCATCATGGCCTATCAGACCTTCCTGATCGATACTCTGCGCTTCCTCCGCGCCGTCAACCTCAATAGAATTGGAGGGCGTGCCCGGGGTGGCTTCCAGGGCTGGTTGTGGATCTACGTTGTCTGGGGATTCACAACGGATGTCACCGTGGCAGGCGTCGCCCAGGTCAATTTCGTCAAGAAAACATCTGCCACACAATGTGGAAGTTCGAGCCCTCACCCTCTCGTCATCGGCAGCCGCAAAGGCTTCTACCTGCATGTCACCGATGCATATATCAACCACGCGGAGGCCACTTATGGCATTGATATAAGCCGGTTCAAACAAGTCAGTTGTGGATCCACGCATTTGGTCCGGGTTGTACAGGAGGACTTTGCGCAGGGTCGCACATGAACTGGATTTCGAAAGAAGGCGAGTGAACTGTTGGGCACTGTCCAGAAAATGGGCCGGGTCGCTGCTACCACGAACAACAAAGGATTCGAGTCGAGAGGGCGCGTTGCAGATGGCTCTTCGTAGCCGGAAGTTGTCAAGTCTAATCTTGTCGAGCATAAGGGTTTCAACAGTGGAGTCAGCCGGCATGAAGAGGTCGTCCTCTTCGAATTGAAGTTGGATGTTTCGATAATACACGCATCTGAGACCGGGGAGGGTGAGCAGGTTTCCAAGATCCGCCGCTGTCGTCGAGCAGTGGTCGATCTGCTCCTCAACATTGATGGGAATGTGAACGGCAACCTCACTAAGAGCTAAGAACCCTGGGGGCCATGGTATTCCAAGCGTCGAACTCCGGCTTGCAATTACGCCGATCCAGGACAATGCGGAGTGTCGGTCTTCGGTTTCGACGAATTTCAGGACTTTGAGTCGAGGGAGCAACGAAATAGTGTGGGCTTTGAAGAATCCATCATCCCCCCTCTGTATGGCCGCTACAACTAGCCTCTGGTCGCCGTCAACGGTAGATATGACAAGATCTACCAACTGACTTTTGCTGAGCCGCGAGCGGATGGATTGGTCATCCTCAGAGAGTGAATTATCGACAGGCGAGCGGACGGGTTGCTCATCCTTAGCGAGGGAAACTCGGCCGTCATTACTGATTTGCCAGGAGCGCCACTCGCTCCATTCATGCCTGGTGCCCCAGACCTCAAACTCTCGCACATGCCAGGCGGCGATGGCCTCAAGACCACAACGAGCCTCTGCGCTGAGGAAAAGGTGAACGACGTCTTGTGGAGACCGGTCCGAGACAACGTGATACTCTGAATGGGCTTGGCGATGCAGTTGAATGATATACCCCGATTGATGAAACATGAACTTGCAGGAAATAGCGAAGGCAAAGTGGTATGACGGCTCCAGGAAGTCGTAGATGGAATGGACGAGCTCCGGGGGAAGTAGCCCCAGCACGCCAGACATGCTGACCCTCGTTGGCGTCGCTGATGTTTCGGTATGGAGATCTTAGACTTAGTAAGGGAGGCTCATGAGGACGATTCAAACTCGTGTTATGATGTTGGAAGTAATGTTGACAAGGTGTTTTGCCACTAGAAAGCTGACAGGGAGGTTCTGAGGAGGTCGCAGCACAGTCATGGAAGGAGCAACGCGACGACGTTTGTTGATCAGACGCGCATGATGTAGATCTGAGGTAAGATAATGAGGCCCAAACATCAAAGACAAAAAGTCTAGCAGCATGCAACTTTGTTGCCGCCTCGAGTCCTGTACGTTACCTAGAGATTTGCGAGAGTGCGACACCTAAGAGAGACCCCCAACCAGAACTTACAGACAGACTTCAACCTGACAATTATTCCACTGAAAGCCCCGGGATTGATTGTTCGAGCTCCCAGAGATGGGATTGCCCTCTCTATCTAATGATGTTTGAAATTCACCTCGAAAGACTACTTGTCACCTAGGCTCTATCAACTATTGGTTGTTTCAGCGCATGCACTGATATGGCCCTTGTAATTATTTGGCCCATTCATTCAACGGATAATATTGTTCGGCTTTGAGTTAATGATCCTAATCAAAGTATAGGTCGTTATATTGTATGAATTCTTATCAAGCTGTATCCGCAGATCGGATGAATCCAACCAGGGCATTCCACCTAATGTTCTTTTCGGCGTCAAGTAAAGCGCCTCTTCCTGGGTAGCTTGACTTCCTAGTAAAACAGCGCACCGCCTAACAAGTGAAAAGTCATGGGCAGACAGAAAAGGTCAATTGAGAAAGCACTGGCCCCCAAGCGTCTAAGAAAGCCCCAAAGTCTTCAACGTCAGCTCCCACAACCTGGTTTCTTTATCCTCGTCGTATGCATAAGCGCTGACACCCGCGAGGCCAGGCATGGAGTTGTTGGGAGTTGCTACGGCGCAGTCTTCCAAGTACTTGCCGCCCTTTCCCTCCCATTCCTGACCTATTGCTGCTAGGACTGTGGTGGCAGCGCCCTGCTCGCGACTCTTGACCCATTTTGACAAGACCGGGTCAGTCTTAAAGCTATCCACCATCTCCTTGGGCGTGTACTGCGACAGGTTGGTATCAGTAATACCTCCCGGCATCAGGCTGAGACCGTGAATGCCTTGGGAGCCAAAGTGTCGGTCAACATAATTGGCCATATAGATTTGCGCCAGCTTCGACTGTCCATATGCCGCGAGAGGGCTGTACTCCTTCAAGTTGAAATCGTCCCAAACAATCTCGGACGCCTGGTGCCCAGAACTCGAAACATTCACCAGCCTCGATTGAAACCCGGGGGTCGAGGACTTGGCCATTGCGTCCTTGAGCAGCCAGAACAAAAGGAAGTGACCCAGATAGTTGACGGCGAGCTGCATTTCAAACCCGTCCTCGGTCTCCTCGCGGGTCGGGATGGTCATAACGCCGGCGTTGCAGACTAGGACGTTGAGTTGCGGCGACTTTTGAAGGAAATTGGCTGCGCATTCGCGAACAGACTTCATGCTGCTGACATCGAGCTTAATGAGCTCGACGCGGCCGGGCTCGAGAAACGACTTGCATGCGGCCTCGCCCTTTTTGAGGTCACGAACAGCTAGAAAGACCTTGGCGCCAGTGGCAGCAATAGCGCGGCCTGTCTCAATACCAATGCCTGACGAGGCACCAGTTATGAGGAATACTTTGTCCCCCAAGGCACCTTCGCGGCTCTCATCTTTGATGATCTGGAGGGCTGTAGGTCGTGCGTCTCCAGGCCCAGTGCGATTCTGGTGTGCTTGGGCGTAGCGAGACATTTTTGCGGAGTAGGTCAAGATTGAGGATATAAAGAAAGTTTTGGGTCAAACACTATTACTCAAAGGTTGGCTGAAGGGATGAATATGATTAGGCAAGTGGCCGTCGTCCCTTACGCTTATTATACTGCTCGGCCTGCTCGGCCTGGGATTAGGATAGATTCTGAGCAGTGCGGTTTCCGAAGATGCGAATAACCACGTTGCGAAAATACCAGCGGCGAAATGAAGGCCTTCCAGCTCTCCACATTGTCTGTCAGCACATTATGGAATCTTCCATCATGATATCAGGATATCCGAAGCAGTTATAGGTTCAAAGTCCGATCACCAGGAGGTTCATATGACTAAGCTCCGAGAACCCTCACTGGATTGGCTCCAACTCCGCGGACAAGCTGACAAATGTATTGTAACGCTGAGCTATGATTTCCCTTTAGAGAAGAAGCAAGTTTCACTTTATCTCGGTATCTTAGTAACCTCGGAGACTTTTGAGGTCAATCAAGTCCAATGCGCGATGCTTCCGGTGCAAACTCGGCCCGTATTTAGGAAGCAGGAGTCGTGAAGCAAGAATGGACCTCGGATGAATGGACACTGTAAAGCATGCTGTCACAGGGCGGATGGTTTCCTGGATACACTTCCCCCTTCTCATTCATTTTTGTTGGATCGCTTCACTTGTCTTTGGACTGGCTCAAGTGGTTGCTTATCAAAGACCTCGAGAACAAGGCAGCATATCATCTTTAATGCTCAAAAGAAATCATGTAATAACACAGTTATGGCCAGTGTCCAAAACGACAAGTCCTTTACAGAGGTTATTGGTCTGAATTAGGTAATCCGAACGCCCACCCAAAGATTCTCATCATGACGTTGACCATATTGCTCTCCGGAAAAGGGGAACAACCAATTCAAATCGTCTCACTAGGTAAATATCTTTCAATCAACTGAATTTAGTTGTATTCAGTTAGTTTGGAGAGCCAAGAGACTCAAGCTTTAGTGCCTCAGCTCTTGACCACGGACCGTACAGCGGAGGGGCCAATACAGCTGCAGAGAGCTGTGCATGACGACAGACTAAACATGTTGGCCATTGTGCATCGCACAAATATTTTAATTCGGTTAATTCGTAGCAGCGAGGACAGGGATCACACGGACATCCGCTTCATACGCCAAACGCAAGGATCAAGTGGAGCCTCCTAATGAGACTCGGTCCATCTTCCCAACTTTGTCCCTTTTGCAGCACCAAAGCGCTTTTTAAAAGGTTAGTATTCAAAATTGCCGGCCAACAGATGGTCCCTACCCAATCTCGGTTACATTGCGACCAGGGGCCATTATTTGGCCGACCCCTCCTGAGTCTTAGCCAGGCGCCGAAGAAACGAGTCTGAAGATTGATGCGTGCGTTGCTGCCTACCCTGGAATTTCTGACAATCAACAAAGCCTCCAGAAAACTCCACTAAAATAAGTATATACCATTTTTATCCCTGCATATCAAGTAACATAAACAAAAGTACTGGGGAAAGAACTGATCTGTTTGACATGATAAATTTTCCTACCTGATTTGGTTTAGATTTCGTTGAGGCGTCGATTCGGTCGAAAACCATCAATAGGTAGCCACGACTTTAAAGTGCCATAGTACCACGCATGCCTTTTTGGATCGCCTTCACATCCGCAATTCTGTCAGCTTCCACGAAATTAGAATCACATTTACTAGGGATTGTATGTGCTTGAGCGGACTACATAGCGCTTCACCTTCACAGATAGCCTCTGCAGCAGACATTGTTGACCTGTTGCCCGTTGGCACCAACAAACTACAGGAGCATCCCAGAGTAAATCATTTCACCTGCTGACTATAATCCAACTATGATTCCTGGTACTAGTAGTCATCTACAAAGTAAAAGGGCTTATGCCGAGGCTCGGTGATCCCACGAGTTGCTAAATATTCCCTCCGCATCTTTGATGCATGTATTCTCGACGTCACATTGCGCGCCCCCCGCCCCTCTATCTCTCGATCCGAATATGGGTGCCCCAAATCATGTTGGTATGTTGACTTGGTTTGGTATCCAATGTCCAAGTGCACATTTGCCGCATTGTTTGACAATGGAAGCGGCTTTTCAGGCAGCCAGCTGTTGAAGAGCAAGGATATGTACGCAAGATTTTTGAAGCGATGGCCGGACTCAACCGCGGCCAGCAGCTCCTGCGCCTGTTCATGTATTGCGGCGCTACAAGAATGAACTTTCAAGTACTCAAGGTTTTCAGGGAGGCAGTCAACAATTGTCGGAGCGCCGTCAACTTTGAGAGGCACGGGGTGGTCCTCATTTTGATTTGTCGGTTTCTCTGCGAGTAGTCCGGTAAGGCACTGCATGCCCACCGTCAGCTTCCTCAGTGCGACCATCTTGCGTAGTCCCGTCCCCATGTATAGAACATTGGGGCTCCGAAGGCCCCAACCCTTGTCCCAATCTTCCTCTGTATTGACGTAGAGCTCAGTGAGTGAGTCGGCTTGGAGCAAGATGGCATCAAGAATATCCCGGGGAGCCACTGCCTGAACAGTCGACGAGGAGTTGGTGTAGGATGTATACTCGAGCTTCCGAAGTGCTTTACAGGCACGTAGCATCGCAGAAAGTGTTATCGGGATAATCGACGAGGACCGTAGCGTGATCTCCTCGATCGAGGATGATTTGGGTGGGAGATGCCCAAACTGCTCTCCTGCCCTCTCGTTCCCTACCGGGATATTGCATTCATAGTACCGGAGACGAGGTAGAGTGAAAAGTAATGGCCCTTGCTCATACCAACGAGTATATCCGTTTTGGATATTATTTGTTTCGTGAAAGACATCTTCGAGATTGGATAGAGGAAGAACAGGATTGTTACTCCATCCAGGAGCAGACGTCAAGGACAGATAGCCAAGGAATCGAAGCAAACGAACAAAATGGCGTGGGTTCTTGGACTCTTCAAAGAGAAGTGTCTGAATATTAGGACAGATGAGCAACATGAGGCTAATCTGAGCATCAGAGCATCCTTTTTTAAGATCTGATATCCACTCAATACACCAAGAACCATGGTCGTCGTCATCAGGGCTGATTTGACCCAATATGGTTTCTATCTGGTTCTGATAGACGGCAAGCTCAGAGTCTGCCCTGACAGGGTTCTGCGGCCCAGTATCTCCCTTACCCTCGTCATCCTGGTTGCTGGTTGATGTAAAGCCGCCTAGGATGAGAGTGTTTACATGTCTGGCGAGCCAAGGCTTCGAAATAAGGAGGTAATGTAAAAACTGTGCATTTTTGATAGGGGAACAAGGGCCGCCACCCTTGTGGTGGTGGACTGTATTGCGGAAAACGCTGACGGAAAATGGAAGGGCGATTTCGTACAACTGGCGGCAGGTCCTGAGGACGGACTGGATTGATGATCTACCAGAGGGCTCCACCATGTATGAGATGACTTTAGACAGAATCTCAGGAGGTAGGTCCAGCAGAGAGGTATGGCCCGATCCGTTGTTCGCCATTGTGCCCTGCGTACTTGTTTGTTGTTTTAGAATGTAGTAGCATCAACAGCTGTAGAGAGCGTTGTGCGGGCAAACAAGGGCTCCGACGCGATGCTCGCTAGGGTGTTGATATTTTAGCTGGCTGGCTGGGTAGATAATTAGATCATAGAAAATCGCGTCTGTTCGTGCTCGCGGCGGATCGTCACAGGGAGAACTGATGAAGATTGGGAGGCGGGGGTTCATGAGATGCCGCAATAGTGATGAAGAGTGAAAGAATTGTGCCGCGGTGGGTCCTGCGGTGTTCCCTGTTGATGTCGGGGCTGCCTTCAAAGGGGCACATGGTGCGGTTTCAAAAGGCAGTGGTTGTGCATCCTTCTGCAACCTCAAGTACCGTTGCTGTCAATGCTGACGATGACGCCACACGAGTGCCGATATAAATAACGGCAGTGGAGAATAGAGTTGATCCTTACCCCGTGTTTGGCTCCCTCACCTAAAACGGATCTCTTCCGGGGGGGCCGCGAGAGAGATGACCGGATCGTTTCGCTGTATCCCGTAATAGCCGTGAGATGGATTACCGCCCCTTATTAATAGAACTACTTAATTTCACGTGCCGGGGTCGCGTCGGTAGTTCTATCCCTGTTTACGACCAAAGGAGAAGCTGACGCGTTGCTGAGTAGATGAACACATTCCGAATCTTGCACATCTTCCAAAGGCGCACTAGCTTCAAACATTCAATGTTGGCTACCTACGCACACGCAAGGGAGGTCTTGTGTGTCCGTATTTCTTGTCTTACTGTGTAGTACTCACCAAAAAAGAAAAAAAAAAGCCAAGAGTTCGCCGTAGCTTATCCAATCGAATTCGAAAATTGAATTTTGGTGAGATTTGTAAAGGTGGCCAGGGACCGTGGACTGTCGAACAGCTGGCTCATCGGCTAGGGTGGAGGCTTGGCGAGAGATGTATTGTTGGTCCAGCAGCGTTCTATCGGTCCAAGATTCTTGGTGGTGATCCTTGTTCAAACAAGGTGAGTAGTCGGACTGTTTGATCCTTCTCGGCATCTTGCTACCCCGTCACACCGCATACTCAGCACCACCACAATCTTCTTCGGTCCCGAAAAAACAGGTATAAGAAGGTCTGAATTGTCTCTTTCATCTCGAATGATTTGACTCCAACCCAAACAATTTGAAAGACAGAGAAGAGTGGTTTTTTGGCTGGCCTTAAACCCCCTTTTGTGATTTTCCTTTCCTTTGTTTTCTCTTTTTCCTATACTTTTTTTTCTTTCTTCACATTCTACTCCCAGTTACTCGCATTTTCTCAACATGGCTTTCATGAAAAAGGGGTTCCCGACCCAGATGCTTTTCCTCATCGCTCTAGTGGTGTGCTTTATTGGCAGCGCAACTGCTGATTCAGTCTCCTGGGACGACGTTCTTGATGTTCGTGGTATCGAGGACATTGATTATGATACATTCGATTTGCAGCGTCGAGATGAAGAGAGCTACCTTGAAGTCCGTAACGGCAACACTCCCCCAGTCTCACCGCTGACCAGCACACCACCTGGTACCCCTCGCCCTGTTTCCCCTTTGTCGCGACACAGCAGCACCAAGTCAAATGACCGCAAGGACGCTGCTGGTGGTAGCAAGGCATCTGGAGGTCTCCATCGATCAAACGCCATTAAGCGTAAGGGTGGAAGAACCTCTAAGCGATCTAACACTCCCCCCGTTTCGCCATTGACCAGCACACCACCTGGTACCCCTCGCCCTGTTTCCCCTCTGTCGCGACACAGCAGCACCAAGTCAAATGACCGAAAGGACGCTGCTGGTGGAAGCAAGGCATCTGGAGGTCTCCATCGATCCAACGCTATCAGACGCAAGGGCGGACGAACCTCCAAGCGATCAAACACTCCTCCTGTCTCGCCTCTGACCAGCACACCACCCGGCACCCCCCGCCCTGTCTCTCCTCTCTCTCGCCACAGTAGCACCAAGTCAAACGACCGAAAAGATGCTGGCGGTGGCAGCAAGTCATCTGGAGGCCTGCACCGATCAAACGCTGTTCGACGCAAGGGTGGCCGAACATCGAAGCGATCCAACACTCCTCCCGTCTCTCCCCTGACCAGCACGCCTCCTGGAACCCCTCGTCCTGTATCCCCTCTGTCCCGCCACAGCAGCACCAAATCAAATGACCGAAAGGACGCTGGTGGCGGCAGCAAGGCATCTGGGGGCCTGCACCGATCAAACGCCATTAAGCGTAAGGGCGGCCGCAATGGTGGAAAATAAGATATTTCTTGGCTTCAGATTCAAACCTTGGAGTTTCTTGGATATCCTGACTGAGACCCGGAAGAATGGATTTTATCCATAGGGAGGAATGACCATGTTGATAGATTTTGTGTGTTTAGAATGTGGAGTGGAACGGTAAGATCCTAGTATCTTCCATGACCTCCTTTTTAGCTATGAATTTCACCTCGTCACTAGTGTGAACACTAATGACTTGACTTTTTCACCAAAACGCTCGCCTTGTCCCCTACCAAGTGTCGTAAGTTGAGGCTATCCTCTGAAGCCACCACGGGCCATCCTACAAATTCCTAAAGATGATCTAATGCTTGACGCAAGCGGCTGTCCAATTCGATAAGCAAGTAAGCTAGCCCCGGTGAATGTACCCATATGAGCTTTGAAGCTACCGATAGATGTAGTATGAGAATCTGAACAGCTTGTTCTGGGTAAGTCCGGGGGTACCATATTCTCGATCCAAGATCTTCCCTCCAAAACCTCTTTCTGACCTGCTGGTCTTGCATGATTAGGATCATTTGTCCCTACAATACTAGAGAAGCAACGGCGCCGCCGAAAGCGGCGAGGTCAGACTCAGAAATCGAGGTGATTGCGTGCTGTCATATATCGGAGAGGAGGCAGACTTTTATTGAAATTGATTATTCCTGATTAACCAAGTGCTTTCACTACTCTAAGAACGACCCATTCGTCTCTGCTAGAATCGCTTGGTACTCTGGCTGAAATGACATGTATGTGTTCTCGGGCGTATAGTCGTAGCGCTTAGAGTACTCTGCCTCATCGCGGTGAATGTATTGCTTCGGAATACCATTGGCAGCGGCAGCCTCGATCATGAGTTGACGTTGGCATGCTCGCTCCAACGCGATAAATAGCCCTGCAGCTTCCCCGACATTGCTTCCGCAGGTCAAGATGCTAGAAATATGGTCAGAGGGAGAGCTGAGTATTGGGTATAGAACAAATATGGATATACGTACCCATGGTTCTGTAGAATCAGGTTTTTGTTTTTCGGTCCCAGGGCATTGGCTAGATTACGTCCCTCCTCTTTGGCCAGTACAGTTCCGCCAAAGCCTTCATAGACTGAAAGGTCGTTGTAGAAGTAGCACATGTCTGTTTGTCTGGTGTCAGCGCTTCTCGGTATTAGCAATTTCGCAGCCCGCAAGCCATACCTTGCACAAGCATCTCTATAGGTCGTCCAAAAGCGGACCATGCGACGCCATGAGGTGAGTGTAGATGGACCGCGACATTGATGTCCGGTCGCATCTCGTGCAGGACAGAGTGGATGATAAAACCTGCATGGCTGATGGCGTGAGGTGTTTGCTCTTGGATCTCTCCTTCGGCATTGACCAAGACGAGGTCTGAGACCTTGATGAGGCTGAAGTGCACAGCATACGGATCTGCACGATGGTTAGCAAGCGGCCTCGCAATGATACTTCTACAAGAATATGACATACTAATCCAGAAGAGATCAGGGTTCTCCGGGTCTGAAATTATGTTTTGCCTAATTAGTAAAGATATTATCAGGTGTAGCTGACCCTTAGATTCGCTCACCGCGAAGGCTCATGTGGCCAGCGACGCCATCAGAAAACCCCAACTTGGCGAAGATCCGGAAGGCCGCCGCCATCTGACGCTTGGCCCATAGCCTTTCGTCAGCCTTGTTCTCGAATGTGGGCACCTTCTGAACGGTTGGCAGCCTGTATGAGTTGGGTTTCGCCGGCGGGGTGTGGGCGGGTAGCGTCAGTGACGCCTGGCCGGCACTGACGGTGGTGGATGTAATTGACGACATATTTACTTGGTATGGAGTCTGTAAAACAACAATGACTTGATACTAGCCCTCTTTCTCGTCCTGGAGAGATATATTGTCCAAGGATTGATAGTATATGATGTAGTTCGTGGATGTGCTGCGTGTGCGCCTCGGCGATTCAGCATCAGATCCGCAAGGTGCCCATATCAGTGCCGTTAGCGGGCGAATCTCGAGGTCACGAGGTAGTTGTTCGGCGCGAACTTTCTCTTATCTCGCTCGGGTTCGGCACTGGCCACCCTCGATTCGGCACCAGTAAGACGCCAGTATGTCTCTTGGCTGGCGACCTTGTCGATACGCTCCACCCCCAAGCCTGTAAGTCCCACATTCCTACGCCCTGACATCCATGACGGGCGTACTAAAACATCCAGACTTCGCAATGACCGAGAAAGGTTAATTTAGATGTAAAGCTGAGCAGAGTGCTCTGACTAGTCTCAGCCGCGTGCGACGTACCACAAGTCAAGAGATACGTGATGATAGCCTCGTTGTCTTTGGCGTCGTCAATGGCGACGCTCGAATGGCTGGGCGCGCTCTTGGCACTTTATTGGGCTTTGAGCCTCGCATTCAGTCTGATATCAAGATCAAGGAAAAGTGGGTTGTTGGTCAAAGAAGCAAAGACGCCGCTTGCTCAGGAGTCAAGCAACACATCGACAGGTATTGAAATACACCTCAGAGATTGACTCTATCAAAACCAAGTTGCTAACAACATGAAGGGTCGGCAAAGCTTCACCCCGACCTGGAAGCATTCGACTTCTCGGATATTCGACCGATCGATCAACATTTCGATTGGACCACGGTTCCAGAAAAGCCCTGGCGGCCATGGCACGACGGACCGTACCATGTAACCATGGGTAGGTTTATTCCCCATGTCCCATCCCAGAAACAGGACCTCACGCGTGGTTAGGAATAAAAAAGACCTGCTCAAACGACTGGGTGGAAATCGACCAGTCATACATGTCGCGATATAAGTACAAGCGCCAACTATTCGCTCAACATCCCCGTGACACCATCTGTTCTCGTCCCGGCAGTGAGGAAGCCTCATTCGAAAGCCTCTATGCGCTCGTTGATTTTCTCCCGCGTCGATATCCAACAATGTTCACAAAGACCGAACACGGTATTAAAAACCTTATCACGAATGACGACTGGAATCTGGACCGGGAGGCGGATACTTGGAAGTCCTACCACCCACTTCAAGTCATGGGCCTCCTGTCGACGGAGGATTGGTTTATCATGAAGACTGACGAGGATGGAGAGACCACGAGACTGGTCGCGGGCGCAAATTGCTTCCCAGGTAAGTTGAGCCTTTTCGAGACAAGGTGGCCATTATGAGTTGAGCTTCGGGATGAACTGACGCGACCGTAGCCGGATGGAAGCTTCGAGAAAGAGTTGGCCAGAGCCTATGGGAGATCCACGCTGGCAAGGTGCCCCAGTACGAAGAGAAGCTGGCCAAATCCATGGACCGGTACTTCCTGCGACTACGAGCCGACCAAGCCTACATGCGCTTCAACTATGCCATCGACCTCAGTTCGGAGCTCTTTCACATCCATTCCCACCACAACCTAAGCGAAGATAATTTGAACCATTCTGTCACTCTGGAGCAGCTGCACCTGCGAGTCGAGAGGCAAGTCTTGCAGCGGCTTCCCAAGTCCAAGGCAATTGCTTTTTCCATACGTACATATGTCACACCGATAACAGATGTTTGTAAAGACTTGACTGTGGCTCGAGCCTTGCGAACCAGCGTCAGCAGTTATAGCGAGGATGTGGCAAAGTACAAGAACAAAGCATTGTGGAACGATGTTTTGATGAAGTATCTTGATGACATTCTGGAAACGCCGGTCAAGGAATAGGGGCCTTAGAATGGGATATATAATAGCGTGGAATCATTAGGACATTGATGCTTCAGGTTATTTTGATACTAAGGTTGGAGATTACCAAAAAGATAGAGACTAGGATAGAGAAAATATAGCACGTTGAAAGAAGGTTGGTAAAAGACAAGCTATGTCAGCATAATATACATCCCCCTTTCACGCATAACCTCTCGCCAGTCCACGTGGCTGAGTTCCGAGCTCATATGTTGGCGATCAGATCCTGCGCCAGTCTGGCGGTCTACTCGCCTCCACACTTCCATCACGAGCGCCTTGGCCTTTGCAATGTTTCCAATACCATGTCTCCTGGCGCGGGCAAACCAAATCAACGACCTATGACGCAGATCCATATCAATGGCCTCAACGGCAGCGATAAAACCCGGCCATAGAGTGTTGGCAATGGCCATATCGCTGGACATGGCGTCGACATTCTCCAAGTGCTCCAGTGCCATCGATACGAGTTGCTGACCAGTCGGACGGGAACGCGAGCCGTCTTTGTCAGGGGCAAGACCCTCTATGGGAGGCGTCACTGTCGAGCCACCTTCACATATGGCTCGCCGAAAGAAAATGGTGGCACTACAATGAAATGCCCAGCAGTGGTTTTCTTTTATCTCCCTGCTCACATAGTCCGAGACGCCCTCTTGAGAAACGTCTCCAAGGATTTCCTGGCCGCTAAAAGCATCCGGGTCTTCCAGGGTATCTAAGAGCTCTGCTTCGAGTTGCTGCAATGCCACAGCACTCCGCTCCGACCATCGTTTCTCACTCCCCATCGACTCCCTGACGCTGCACAACTCGATCGTCTGACTAAGACAACGTAGAGTCTTCATCGCAATTCCAAACGACACATCAAGCGTGTACTGAGGTGCGGACGTGCCCATAAGAAACTCGACGTCAGATGAGCTGTGGCGAACACCGTCCCCGATAGGCTGAGTGCTTCTCGACTCCGGGGTGATCTGCTCATCATCCCGAACCTGCTCAGATTCCTCGCCATTCGTCCAACCAGACGTTCGAGCGACCAGCTCAAGACATCGAAAGATTTGAAGTAGAGTCATCCGGGTCGAACTGGCTACCCACCAGCCCACTCCGCCGGTCAGACGTATGATGTATTTACACAAGGCAATATTTTCATAGCCTCTCCCCTCATTCCCACCGCTAAAGACCTCGACCGTGGTCATGGTCATGGCTGCGGCCAGCAGTGCCTGCCGATCTACATCATTCTGTAGCAGTGCTTCTCTCTGTGATCCGTCCGCGAGCACCTCCTTGATCATCAAAGCAGCCCTGTCCTTGAGCGTCCGAGCAAGTTGTTGATACTGGATGCGATCACTCCGAGACAACTCAGATTTGTTGAACGCGGCAACGGCGAGGATGGCGTGTAGAAGGCACTTCTTGGCTGCCGTCTGTGGCTCTCGGGAGGCCATTGGGAGGTAGAGACACAACCAAGGATTCTGCGACGGCGCTATTGTCGGCATCATCAACTTGCAAACGTGGGTTCGATAGTGATTTAAGAGATCCGATATCTCCTGAGGGTCGCTATCTGTTGATAAAGCTGGGCTTGTAGGGCGAGGCAGATTGGTGTGCCAGGCAGATGAATTGGTCAACGCCAGTGTTTGGGGTTCCGAACCCAAACCCACGCTGGGGGGCTTTAATGATCGAGGTAATGCCGCTGCTGCTGCTGCTGCGAGATGTCGCATAGGAGATGCCCCCTGACTTTCGCCGTTATTATCGGTCTGTGCCAGGGGGAGGATGCTCTCAAGCAAAGAATAGTCGAAAAACATGTCAGGGGGTAATTCCTCATGGGGCCCAGGAAACATCGATTGCCCCTCGGGGTTGGTGAAGCCAAAGGCTGATGATCCATCTGCACCAGACATGGCTTGAACGGACAATCTTGACAAGCCTCCAGGTGATGCTGATGCAAACTGGGAATTCGCTCCCTCTCGAACGGCAGCAGACTGTCCAAACTCTTGAAACAAGCCAGCTACATCAGCAGAATCTGGATCTTCCATGTCTTCACGATTATCAAAGACTTTTCGCGTGTTGGCTAGGTCGTCCTCATGGCCGCCCCCATCGCTATTTGGATCGCGGGATGGGCGAGCGCGATATGCCTCATCAGGGGACCGTCTGTCATATCCGTCACACACGTAGCGCCGCGATCTCTCGCAGTTCGAACAGTTTGGGCGCTGCAAGTCACACTTGATCTTCCTTAGCCGACAGATAGAACACCCCTATATCACGGGCTGCATGACCGAGTCCAGCTACGTCACCTGTGCCAAGCATCACCCGCGGGGCAGTTGATGCTTGACAGAGGACCGAGCGGATCAGTCAAGCACGTCGCCCAATCATCAGCAACAATAGATAATCACGACATCTCGTAGGTTACCCACCGAGTAGACACGGCCACCTCTACGGCGCCTCCGTGGTGTTTGGCGCTGGCTCAGCATCCCGGACATTGTTGTGGGCTAGACGATCTCGGCATGCATCAACGCGTGGGTGGTGAATACCGGCGCGAAATTGTTCGACTAGCATATCGACAGTCACGGGATCGGGCTCGAGGTATACTGCGAAGCCGAGAAGCTCCCACCAGCTGATTATAAACAAACGCGAGGTGAGGGGACGGATCGGCGGGGTTGGGGAGCGTTTGTTATCTAGCAAGTCACTAAGACGGCTTATCTGTGCCAACCCGACGACGGAGATATGCTGCACAGGGTTTATTAGTTTCCCCGCAAGTCGAAGCCATCCACGAATGTCTTATCAAGAGACCAAGTGGGCTGGTTCACTCTCCCCACACTCTCACCCCTCCCGGACCTGCGACTCCGGACCCGGTGCCAGTTCGCGCCGAGAAGTTTAGCTTGCATGAGTACGTACTAGGATCAAATCGAATATCTTTTTCCGAGCCCAATTCCAATGGTGGACTGTCTGATGCTGTATTCCAGCCTTTGCAATTCATCGAATCTCCAGGAGCTGCAGACTTGTTTCTCCAGCAATTCCATAATCCATCATGGCCTCCAGTTCCAGCTTGGGAAGCTTTAACCTTCTACCCCTGTCTAACGAGCCATTTGTAAGTTAAGAGCATTAAGACATTATGAGTTAAGTCTAACTACTGACCACTAATTAGATCACCTATGGCCCAGGCTCGGAGGAGCGAGGTGCCTTGAAAACAGCTCTCGAGCTGATGAAAAATGAAGCACCTTTCCAGGTTCATCCCAACGTTAACGGCAAGGATGTAAGTGTATATTTAGTTCGTCTCAGGTAGAGAAAGACATTTCTAATTGATGTTTGTTCCAGGTCGTCGGCAAATTGACGGAATCGCAGGCTATGCCGTGGGAGCATAGCGTCAAAATCGCCGAATACTCGACCGCAGACCAAGCTCTTGTCAAAGAGGCAATCGATGGTGCTTTGGCTGCCAAGAAGGAATGGTGCAGGACACCGCTCCATGACCGTGCTGCGATCTTTTATCGCGCAGCAGCTCTCTTGCAAGGCCCGTACCGTTACAAGATGATGGCTGCGACCATGCTCGGCCAGGGCAAGAATGCCTACCAAGCTGATATTGATTGCGCTGCCGAGGTGAGCTATTCTTGTTCACGGCCTAGGTGATTCGGTTTAGAACTAATGAGCTCGGGGTAGACCATTGATTTCCTCAAGACGTTTCCGGCTCTTGCAGACCAACTTTACAAGAACCAACCTCCAATCAACGCGCCCAATGTCTGGAAGTAAGTGCCCTTGTAAAGTTGCATCGATGATCTTTAGTGCCATATGAAATAACACTGCGCCATTAGTCGTACCGAAGTGCGGCCCCTGGACGGCTTTGTCTACGCAGTCAGCCCATTCAACTTCACCGCACTCGCTGCAAACATTGTGCTCGCCCCGTTAATCCTCGGCAATGTGGTGATTTGGAAACCAAGCCCCGGAGCCATCTACTCAAGCTGGCTGTTTAACCACATCATGATTGAAGCTGGTCTGCCGGCAGGTGTACTGCAATTTCTCCCCGGTGACGCCGTCGAGGTGACGGAGGAGGTGTTCAACAGTCGGGATCTGGGAGCCCTGCACTTTACAGGCAGCACGGCGGTCTTCAAGAGCTTGACCGCTCGGATCGGCAGCAAGATGGAGTTTTGGCGTTCGTACCCGCGCATCGTCGGCGAGACAGGTGAGTCTTGTGCCTGAAATACAAACGTTAGAGTTGTTTTCTAAGCCTTAAGAATCCAAACAGGAGGCAAGAATTTCCATCTTCTTCATCCTACAGCGGATGTTCGCAATGCGGCCCTCAAGAGTGTGAGAGCTGCGTTCGAATACCAGGGGCAGAAGTGCAGCGCCTTATCGCGCATCTACGTTCCAGCGAGTATAGCGGAAAAGTTCAAGGCCGTGGTTGTGGAAGCAACCGAGGCGTTGACCATGGGCCCGGCCTTCACTGATTTCATCGGTCCCGTCATCAGCCGCTCAGCATATGACCGCATTTCCGGATACATCAAAGAGGCTGAGTCGTCTGTCGATGTCGCGGTCCTTGCCGGCGGTACATGCGATGACTCAAAGGGATTCTATATTCGGCCGACAGTGCTTGAAACGAAAGATCCTTTGTCTAAATTCATGACGGAGGAGATATTCGGCCCAGTCGTCTGCATTTACGTCTACGATGATGCTGATTTTGGCCCCAAGATCTTTACGATCATTGACGAAAGCACGCAGTACGCCCTTTCCGGCGCTGTCTTTGCCAAGAGCCGCACAGCCATTATCGAGGCGACAGAAGAGCTGAGGTTCTCCGCGGGAAATTTCTACATCAAGTATGCCCGCTATCTGCAATCATTTTCCTTAGAACTGTTCTAATTCTTTCTAGTGATCAATGTACCGGAGCAATGCCTGGGCAGCAGCCATTTGGTGGTTCACGGTCCAGTGGAACGAACGACAAGGCTGGTACGGCGGGATTGTTGACAAGGTTCATGTCCCAGAGGACCATTAAGGAGGGCTTCTCAACCATTGACAATGTTTTGTATCCATCTAATATGCCATAAATCGAACAGCCCATGGATAGAATGGTCTTATCAATAAATATTCTTTCAGTACAAAATATATCCACTGGCTGCTGTAAGTTGCGTAGTGCTCCTATTCAACTGCGTACTCTGTCTTCATCTTTGTGTATAGCTGTTATTCGCATCACATGCTTCATGCCTTAGTCAAAGTGGCCTGCTTTAAGAACTGTAGCGTTTAAACTCGGTGCTATCTCGAATCAATGCAACAAACTCTGTTGTTTTTCAGAGAAAGAATATATGATTAGGCACCTTTTTTAATATACACTCCTCAAAGGCCTTGTACAATACATCGAATAGGCGTAAATCAAGGCCCAAGGGGCGATATTCTCTCGGTGTAAAGATTAAATTGAAGCTATTCATGCCCTACCTATGGCATTACAACTTAGCCTTGACCTCATGGGCGCCAATCCTATCAAAGTAATCCTTCAATACTGCGTCAGTCTGGAACTTGGGCCCTGCAAGTCTCTTTTCCGTAGGGGCATAGGCCTCGGGGAACCAAGAAGAAATGTCTTCTCCCAGGATCAACTTGCCCAAGGCATCCCCAGAAATGAGGCCGTTGGTCATGCCATACGTATTCCACCCGGCCGCAATCCACTCGCCAGAACCTCTACGCCCGGTAGCACCCTGAGACAGCTTTCCAACGAAGGGCAGCTGGTCACCCGTGTAGCACATGATCCCTGTCCACACACCCTTGGCGCTGGCATCATCCTTGGTCCACGCATCTGAGAACAAAACCGGGAGAATAGAGCGCAGATTCTTATCAGCATGAGGATCGATCGTTGAGTCGTCGGCGGAAATGAACCCATCAATGCTGTCCTTGTCACCGCCAATCCAGAGATCACCAGTATCGCGGTTCTGGAAGCCATAGTAGCGGCCAGTTTCGACGGTCCCTTGCTTCTCGTCGTGCTTTGGGGTGAAGTAGAATGACCACGATTGCTTCCCTTTCTTGTCAGGAAACGAGCCTCCCGGAGTCTGGACCGACATTGTGCCTCGGCGCGGGTACATCTTTCCTCGGAGACCGGGCAGCAAATGCGCGGCGTGGCCATTGGTGCAGTGGACAACTTGCGATGCGAGGATAGTCCCTCTTGGGGTCTCCACCACGTAAGGGTAATCTTGATTTGAACCCTTCGAGATTGCAGTGACGGGGGTATGGGTTGCAATTGTGAGGCGATCAGGGTACTTCTCAAGCAGCGTCTTGAAGGTGCCAGTAACGAGCTGATATGGCGACACGGTTCCCGCCGGAAATCTCAATCCGCCGTACGCGCCATTCAGTCCATACTTCTACAAGGCCCGTTAGTGGCGTTTCTCCTGAAACCAAACAGAAAACCGTTACTTACGGTTGCAGTATCATTGCGCGAGACCAGACGATACACCCCCCAGTCCTCTGGAACCTCCTTCTCATAAAGCCCAATGGCTTCTTTCGTCTCATTCCACGACTGCTCATCGTAGTAGGCGAAGAACTTCTCCAGCCTCGTCTTCAGGGATTTTGCGACGAGTTCAGGGCCCTGTTCCTCGGCGAGATTGTGCATCTCGTCAAGGCCCTTCACAGTCAGACGCATAATCTTGGCCGCTTGCTCCGGGCCAAATTCGTCTCTCATGAAGGTATACCTAGTCGGCGGCAGTCTTGTCAACTGGCCGCCATTTCGGCCTGTTGCACCGCTACACAGGCCTCTTGCTTCAATAACGGCGACTGTCTTTGAGCCCGAGGCCGCATTAGACAGTAGGCTACGGGCGACACCGCAGGCAGCGACTCCAGAGCCGATGACGAGGAAATCGACATGTTCCGGCAAAGCTGTCGATTGAAGCTTGCTGGTGAACGGATTCGGAGGCTCTTGCCACAAGGACACTGTTGGGTTTGGGCTGGGTAAATTTGGGTCACTCAGAATCTGGCGACGAATCGTGGCCGGCAAATCATTTCCAGAGGGGGCCATGGCGAACTTTAGTTTATTGACTCTCCGTTGAAACCTTTCAAGATGTCGGACAGCTTGCTGAGGCTGTGAGGTGAATTGCTGGAATCTGAGAAGCTCAATCTGGTAGAGAAGTAATCCGGGGTACGCTACACCGGATTCGATAAAATGCCTTGACGCACTGACTCAGTATGTACAGTAGACTAGTTTGTATCCAGAGTCTGCCCTTTTAAGAAGTGCAAGATTAAGGTCAGGTTATAGGCCTCAGGTGGCCGCTCATCGTGAGCGAGTCAAGTAGCGATAACGGAAGAAAGGGGGATAATCGGCGCTGACCACTCGGCGGACCCGCCGAGCATGGAATGAATCGCTGCTGGGCAAGTTCGCCCTAGAGATTAACGAATCGCCCTTCTTTTCGGCCTGTATCTTCGCTATCAAAGTTCGCGCCGAGGTTGTGGGGCCAGGCGTTGATAAAATTCGCTCTGAAAGAGCAAATCCCAGAAGACTGGGAATCAACCTGTGGATCAGTCAGTCTTTGCTTCTTGGTTCATTATCTGGGGAAATGGGTCCAGGTCACTTGCCCTCTTTTCCATGACGAACTTCCCCGAACAATAGTTGGACACTTGGCGATACCGATCCCCCGGCTATCAAGCATATCAACACGCGTGGCCCAGACCACCAGATCACCCTTGACTTATCAAATTCCAGAGATATGTAATCTGGACTTGGTTGGAATCTTATCATCCTTGAACCATACTTCACGATCATAATATTTAACACGCCTTGTCCTTTCGCAAAAGTCCCATCTGTCTGACACGTCACTCTTCGACTTGTTGAGTATCTCTATCATCCTCATTTACCTCACTGCAAAACCTGCCCAAAGGCCTTCTTAACCCAAATCGCACTTATGGCGTCTGAAGTCAAGTCTGACGTTATGGACGCGAAGGCGAAGGGGACTTCGTCGATTGTGGACGAAGGCGCAGTACCCTCGGTAGACATTGAGCGCACTGCCTCTCTGCCAACTTACCTACCTGGGTCTGCATTGGAGAAGCGTCTCGTGCGAAAGCTTGACTTTATCCTTCTACCCATGCTCTGGTGGATGTACATTCTGGCCTATGTTGACAGAGGCAATGTGGTGAGTAACTCAATCAACGACCCCCGAGGACAAGAGTTGAAAAAGTGCGTGCTGACGCTTTCTAGGCCAACGCGAACGCTGCTGGCCTGAGCACAGATCTCGATCTTAGTGAAGGGGATTACACGCTCGTCGTCTCAATCTTCTTCATTGGCTACACCATCTTCGAAGTCCCATCCAACCTTCTGCTCAATAAGTTCAGGCCCTCGCGCTACCTCTCTACCATCGTCATAGTCTGGGGCGTCTGTGTCGCGGCCATGTCTCAATGCAAGAATCGAACCGAGTTCCTCGTCGGCCGATTCTTCCTCGGTTGCATCGAAGCCGGTCTCTTCCCAGGCGCGTTGTACTTGTTGACTTGCTGGTACACCAAGGCTGAGATTGGTAAGGATCCTCGAATTGTCTTTTTGTCTGATGTTGACGGTGGACCTGACTGACATGTGTAAAAGGCAAGAGGTTTGCAATTTTCTATACATCTGGAACTATCGCACCGGCTCTGGGAGGTATCATGGCTGGAGCAATCATCTCGTCATTGGAGGGGAAGTTGGGCTGGGAGGGATGGTAAGTCTTCAACAAAAACTGACACACTTTTCGCAGGTAGGAGATGTTAACTAGCAGTAATAGGAGATGGCTATTCCTCATTGAAGGAGTGGTTACAGTTTTCTTTGGGTTTATCTTCTACTTCATCCTCATCGAGTATCCGATCAACACCACCAAGTTCTTCACCAAAGAGGAATGCGACCTGGCCTATAACCGCAACCTCCATGATCGACAGATTTCTGTTGAGCACAGCAAGCTTCGCATGACACCCTGGCAATCTGTGAAGGCTGTTCTCGCTGATCCGCGGTCTTGGGGATTCCTGTGTCTGTACATCATCGATTCCACATGCACGTCCATCTCTTACTTCATTCCCGTCACTCTGAAGGCTATGGGGTACACATCAATCACCGCGCAGTGGATGACTGTTCCCATCTGGGTCTCCGGAGCCGTCATCATGGTAATTGTCTGCACCTCATCAGACTATCTCCGAAACAGAAATTGGCATATTTTCGGATGCTTGACTGTTGGCCTTATCTGCAGCATCGTCTGCGTGACAACAACAGACCCGAAGCCTCGCTATGCTATGCTTTGCTTCTACATTGGAGGCATCTACGCTGCCGTAGCCCTGATCCTGAACTGGACTTCGGAAGAAATGGCTCTTCCGGATCAGAAGCGCTCTGTTGCACTGGCATTTGTCAACTCATGGGGCAACTTGTCCATCATTTGGGGTAGCAGGCTTTGGAAGACGGCGGAGAATCCCGTGTACAACACCGGGTTTACCACGACCGCGTGCCTAGCTGCTCTGGGAGCCATCCTTGCTGCAGCCCTGCCATTTGCATTCAAGTATCTTCCAAAGGAGCCCATGACAAAGGCTGAGAGAGAGCTACTGGCGGCCCAGCAGGGGCAGCAGCGAGGACAGGAGGATTAAGAGATGGATTGGAGGTCCGGATCCGGAGAAGGGTTGGGTACGTAGGTAATTTATTATGCGCGTCACATGGGCAATGGGGGAACTTTTAATTTCTGTACACATATTTCCCCATCTGGTTCAGAATAGCAAACTCGCGCGTTGTCAGTCCTAGATGATCTTGATTCCCACGTAACGTCAGATAGATCATAGCGACGCGAATGGTCTCGATGTATCGCCCAATTAAGGACACCAGCAATTGTCAGTGGTTCAATTTTTAAGTTTTTAAGGCCACAACTGGCTATTGTCAGCCCTGGAGGACTGATGGAACATGTGTAATCGGCAAGCCGCGACACAAAGGGGATGGATCTTATGCTTTTCTAATTTTGCCAGCAAAGAAAGTTCTCAAGTTCTCTGAAACCAGGGGTGAAGACAGGAATTGAACGGAAACGAAACGGCCATATCTTCTCACCGAGAATTCGGACTACTTTTGAGGAACTTGGCTATTGATATCAACACGCCACTTTTTGACCATGACGCTTTCTAGAGGAGTTCTTCTTTAGTATCTATTCCTTATCCGAAGGTTATAAAACCCCTCAGATGACTCTGAATTCCCTTGGTTCTCCCTGGTGGCACATATGTCTGACTTGTTCATTGGCACAAGAACTACCAAAGGGTTGGTGGGCTCGCAATGGAGCACGGGGGAGGTCACTGGCAAACTGTAGTGGACTATGGTCAATCATTCGAGACGTTGCTATCAAACATCACCCTAACAAATAATCGGCACGAGGATGAGACCTTTAACTAAGTCTAAGTAGTTCGGCGCGAATTCGAGTGCGGGGAAACTCACTCTCATCCCTGTGTGGACAAGAGAAGAGTCGACAACATAGAGAAAAGTTGCCGAGTGGTAGGTAGATTGGTAGATTAGACCAGAAAATAAAATTCATTTCTAGTCTCTTGAAGATATCGAATTCACCCATCCTGGTCAGCAAACATTATGTTGTGTCAGCATTGATTATCTCCACAAAATCATTGGTCAGCCAAGAGAGCGGTGTTCGGCGCGAAGCTACTCACACTGGGTGTTCTGATTACGTTTGGCCTGATATCGGAAGAAGCATGCATGGATGGATATACCAGGTCTTCGACACCCTACGCACGCAGTCCGATTCCAAGTACCTTACACAATAGCCCAATTTCGTAAGCCACCCAGCGTCGGCTTTGTTTCAGTCTTTACCCCTGTGGACCTTATCATTACCATTACCATCGTCATGTCAGCTGAAGCAACCCCTCCATCGGCAATATTCCATAGATCCTTGGGCAAGGTTTATCCTACCGCGGTTAGTGGACAGGGTATATACTTGGAGACAAAGGATGGCAAACAAGTGATTGATGGAAGCAGCGGAGCAGCAGTCTCATGTCTCGGTCACGGACACCCTGCCGTCATTCAAGCCATTGTCGAACAGGCGCAGCGAATGTCATTCGCTCACACGTCGTTCTTTACCAGCAACCCCGCCGAGGAACTCGCAGAACTTCTTCTAAGCCAAAGCGCAGGAGCTTTTCACAATGTGATGTTTCTGAGCTCGGGTACGGGCATCGTTCCACCATATTAGCCTCACGGTGACATGCTAATCATTCTATAGGCTCCGAAGCCGTCGAGTCTGCCATTAAACTGGCGAGGCAATATCATGTATCCAATAGGCAGCCCGAACGCATAAACTTCATCAGCCGCAGATACTCTTACCATGGGAATACCTTGGGTTGCCTTTCTGCCGGATTCAACCCCCCTCGCCGGGAGCAATTTGCCCCGCTGCTATCCCAAGCATTCCACCATGTATCTCCGTGCTTTTTCAGCCGAGATGCATCGCCTGGAGAGGCGGAGTCCGCATACGTCGATCGCCTTCTTCAAGAGTATGAGCAAAAGATTCAAAGTCTTGGACCCAAGACAATTGCCGGTCTCATCGTTGAGCCTATCGGTGGCGCAACACTGGGAAGTGTTCCTTCGGCGGAAGGTTACTTGACCGGGCTTAGACGACTGTGTGACAAGTACGGTTCCCTCCTCCTCTTCGACGAGGTCATGTGCGGCATGGGCCGAGCTGGTACACTTCATGCCTGGCAATCTCTGGGCAATGTAGCCCCTGACCTGCAAACGATCGGCAAGGGTCTTGGGGCGGGATACCAGCCCATATCCGCGATCCTGGTTGGTCGCCAAGTGCACGATTCCATCAAAGCATCGCAGGACGTTCTCCCCTTTGTGAGTGGGCACACATACCAAGGGCACTCAATTGGCTGCGCTGCCGCCCTGGCGGTTCAAAAAGTCATTATTGAGCAGGGCCTTCTCGCAAATGTTGAAGCTATGGGAAAATGTTTGAGAAGTCAGCTTGAGGCCTCGACACCCCACTTGAAGGAGGTCCGCGGTCTTGGGCTGTTCTTGACTGCCGAGTTCAAGGCCATAGGAGGCAGCCCTATCTCTTCGAGAGTTGCTGCGAGGTGTCTAGATAATGGAGCAGCGGTGTATCTGTGCTCATCAGCTGTGGACGCAGTTATGTTCGCCCCGCCCTTCATTATCACGGAGGAGGAGGTGGGTAAACTGGTTGAGATTTTTGTTCTATCCGTGAATGAGGTGTTGCTTGAAGGTGTATCTGCAACATAGAAGAGCAACGCTACATACAGAGAGGGGAGGGTGGGGGAATATTTGGACACCGCTGCTGCAACCGCTATCAACTGCTAATTTGTCCTATGCTTTCATGATAATAGAGATCCTTAGCGTTTTGTGGAAGAAGTAGAACAAGAAGAAGTAGTGTGGGTGAAATTCAAGTCGGGAAATGTTGCCCCTGATGAAGTGTCCTCCTGCTCTCCCGTCAAACACCATACACGGAGACCCGAGACGGGAAGCCAATCCATGCAAACTTCTTCTACGAACATGATATGCTAGACACTTGCTGAGCTAAAGAGCTAAGTTAGAGTCTATAATGCAAGCACGGAAAGAGAACTCAAACGCATGGAGGCCCCTGAAGGTAACTGAACAACGCCACTCCTACTTCCGAGCTCCCATGTAGAGACTGCAATCGTCCATGATTTTAGGTACTTTACGTTGTAGTACCTATGCTAGAAACACACCTGGAAAATACAAGCAACGTGGACATTGACAACATGAAGTTTCAGAGAATGGGCTTATCCTCAACGAGTTCTTCACCACTCCAAAGTAGGCCGCCAGGGTATGTGTACCCATCGTCCATACTTTCTCCTCTGTACATACTGAGCGAAGTTCGCATTCCTGTAGATCGAATGTCAGCGAGCGTTGTCCAACTTGTAGCTTTTGGATCTTCATGGCCACGGCGCCTACCAGGCGTTGAAGTGTTGAGACCTGCTGGGATCTCGATGCCTTCTGGGAGTGGGCCAGTGGCATTGCTTTCCACCAAGATCTGAGCGCACGAGGCGTATAATTGGGGCGTGTCTGAGATATAGATCGGTGGCTCCCAAAGTCCAGGCCAGATCAAGTCAAGACGCAAAAGGTACTCGCCCGCCGGCGTCTGTTGGGGGATTTCAAAGATAAACTTGTGCGGCGTTAGTTTCCTCTGGCTAGAATAAACACTATATGCGACAGGACAATCTTACTCGCGCCGGCAACTTCTGGTAATTATAAGCTAGCCAGTGGATGGAACCGTCTTCATTCATGTCGAAACCTAACGAGTAGATCTTAAGCCACTCGCCAGAGCCATCATACTCACGGATGTCGGTTCCATCGGGAGCCTTGGAGAGATGCGCCAATAAAGGCCCAGGATGGTTAAAATCCATGGTCCACTAGTGTGTTGAGTAAGAAACAGTTAAACCTCACATCAATCAATGATATCACTCACGTTAGGATCATTGGGGTCGCAGCTTCCACGACCATTTGGACAGTCGTACCACTGGTTGTCTGCCCAGTACGACGGAGAGTTTCGAGTATGAGCAACCTCGATGGTATCACCGGCTTTCACACGAAGAACCTCGGTGTTAACTGCATGCGCCATGTTGTCGCGTCCGCACTACGCGGCAAAGTCAGACACATACGCGTATTGTAGATAGGTGAGATTCAAATATGCAAGGGCTGAGTTTGAGCTCCAAGTTACTTACACGGACTGATTCTGGGTAGTCGGAAATGAATGTCGGGAAGTTGTAGAGGCGTTCATTGTTGTTTGTATTCGGGGTAGATCGCTCCTCAAAAGGCTCGGTTTTGTTCCTTTGTCACGTCAGAAGACGGCATTCGAGGGCAAAATGGGCTCTAGTTCAAGCTACGAACCGAATGAATTGGGTCGGAGCCTGCCATTCGCCATTATGGGCCAGACGCACAAAAGTAACTGTCACCTGAATCAATACCGATCAAGTGAGCAATGAGACAGAAGAGCATACAGTGTGCCTGTGCAAGCGACGCGGCGAAGGTAATTTTCAAGATGGCGCTCATCTTATTCATGATGGATCAATAATGAAGATTTCCTCGATTTATGTCAATAAACTTACCCGAGAATTATATCATTACTACGCCTTCCATTATATAGCCACGTAGGTCCTTTGATTGAAAATTCTCTGCAAAAAGTGTAAAACATGGCCTGAATGAGAAGGACGGGACGTCCTCTCCGACCATCCATCCACCAAGGCCTCTGATCAGCAATACCACCTCAAAGGGTAGCACCAGCGTCACTTTGACTGAATCCAGAAGTTGGACTTAGTACTTCCTTCTTAATATTGACCGGAGCTATGCTTGATAGACTGTATTCATAAGTGAGGGATGTAGTGGAGGGCTCGGACAGTCGGGTTGCCCAGCCTTCGCTTAATAATTGATGAACCGCCAAGTGGTAAGCTTCCTTTGTAACTTCCGTCTCTGCCTTGCTCCTTGGCATATTTTTCTTCAAGAAAGTGTGACTGCTTATGCAAGGGTCGCGTATGCAAGGATCGCATTCATGCCAGTCCTAAGCGTGACATAGATACCAATGAGGATAATGGATTGCTTCTTAACCTTGCACTTATTAATTCGTCCCATCATGGTGTATTAGGCATGGAGGGCTCGCTTTAGAAGCGTTGTCGGTGAAAGTGGGCAGTGGTCTTGGTGTCGTGATCTGATTCATATATGTGAGATTACCAGTATGTGCCGTCTCTCAAAAGATTTAATATAGCAAAGTGTTCAACTGTGAATAAACTCTCTACATATATGATTGTTCAACCGTTTTGTACTCATGATTTTATCAGCTTTCTAAGCTCATCATACTCACCCGTATGTTTAAGCATCTCCCAAAACGCCCCCTTAGACTTCAATAATTCGCTCGGCGTGCCCATCCTGTAATTTAGTTAGCAATTCATAATTCCGTCCAGAAATGCAGCGGTGCAGACTCACTCGACTACTCTTCCTTCTCCCATAACAATGACACGATCGTAATCCACGACAGTACGCAGGCGATGAGCAATAGCGATAATGGTAGAGCCAACAAACTCTGACCGGACCAGTCTCTGCATCCGTGCATCAGTCTCATGGTCTACCGATGCCGTTGCCTCGTCCATGATGATGACCTTCGAACGACGCCACATGGCGCGCGCGAGGCCAAAGATCTGACGTTGGCCATTACTGAAATTCGTCCCCCCACTTGCAATGGGTGTATCTGTCGCGAGTTGGGCCTTGTGGCTAGCACCATTGGTATTTCCTATAGTGCCCCTTTCTTGTGATAGACTGCATATTTGAAGGACAGCTTGGAGCTCTGATTGATCTGCCTCTGAAAAGGGGTCCAGGTTGGATTGGGCGTCGCCGGAGAAGAGTACAGTCTCCTGAGGAATGAGGCCAATGGCCTTCCTCAGGCGCCGCAAGGGCACCTTGGTAATATCGACACCATCAATGAAGATTTGACCAGCACTGATATATGTAGAGCGTAACATGGAGAGCCCTAGAGTACTCTTGCCACTGCCCGTTCGTCCAACAATTGCGATCCGCTCGCCGGGCTTTGCATCAAGATTGATATCCTGGAGGACATCTACCTGATCTGGCGCATATCGAGCCCTCAAGTTGCGAATCTCCACCCTGCCGCAAGTTGGCCAGGCCGCTGGGATCTTGTTCTTGGCTAGTACAGCTTCAGTCTCAGCAGTTTCTTCCGGTTCAATCTTCGTATAGTCGTGGATACGTTGGAAAGAATTCAGTTCGACCTCCAACTCATTCATATTCCTGATCAAGGTCAGGATGGTCTGACTGAGGCCAATGGCGTTGGTCAGAGAGAACCCAACAAGGCCCGCTGAGCCCGACTTGGAGTATGCAATATATCCAGCCGTCGCGGCAATTGTTGCTGCACAAAAATCAGACCTGATTGAAACCCACCTGTTGCAGTTGAACTGTGCTTCAGCGGCTCGCATATGTTGCGCGATTTTGTCAGCAAGCAACTGTTGAAAAACTCCATCGATGGACCGCTGTGCTCGAATTACCGCCATGCCAGCTGTTGTCTCGTTGAAGTGGGAAAAGATCGGAGCAAACTTGATGGAGACAATCCTCTTGATAGATATCTCTGCTCTCGAATACATCTCGCCAGTTGCGAATCCTATGAGGCAAAACAGCCCAGCCGGCAGAGCAAATATCGGCATAATGGACGCGATGCTGGCCAGCCGGAGCATGAAGCGCAGCCCATTATCCAGAGTCATGCGCAGCCAGTCAGTCAATACTGCATCAATAGATTGAATATCAGGACCAAAACGACTGAGAATCTGTCCAATCGAGACACTGCTGAACCGTGAGTTGGGCGCTTTGACGACGGCATTGACAAGACGTTGATGCATAGTTCTGGCTGAATACCAGCCACCTCGTTGGAATATGAAGTTGTTCGAGAATTGGAGGAGGATGAAGCCAACCACGGTGCCAGTATATACGTATAAGTAGAAACTCTGGTCTGGAAACCGGTCAGCCTCGTCGTCTCTGGCATTAGTCCATACCGAAAGCCAGAGCGTGATCGAGAGGTATGCCAACTGCACGATAAGAGCACTGCATAGAGCCAGCGAGGCATGTATCGCACCGCCAAATAATAGCATATATTTGAGTACTGTTACAAGGTGAGCTTGTGCTGGTGCGAGGGACTGGGGGCGGACAGGGTCATGTACTCACTCATTAATCTTGGCACTCGGCCAGAGGCTTGTTTTTCTTCCGGTCCATCATTATCCAAAAGAGTCAAAGTAGATGTGCTGCCAGTTTGGACTTCGATCTCAGCCTCCTCCAAAGATCCATTGCTGGGCGTATAGTCCAAGACCGTTTCGGTTGCCCCTGCTTTCAATGTGCTTCTAAGGTCGCTATCTAATGACTGTTTGCCAGAGTCTTGAGAGACGACAGACACAATGCCTCCATCTATTGAGATCAACAAATCTGCATCCTCAATCGCGGCTGCCAAATGCGTGACGAGAATGACTGTGCGCCCAGCCAGAAGTCTGGTACGGAAGCACCGACTGTAGACCCGGGACGTAGTGTGGGCATCCAAGGCAGAAAAGATGTCATCCAAGAGCAACGTAGAAGCTGATGAATATAATGCCCTAGCCAAAGAAATTCGCTGCTTCTGGCCACCTGACAAGGCAGATCCTCGCTCTCCAACCTGAGTCAAATCACCTAGAGGCAAACGGCTCAGATCATCCAAGAGATCACAGGCATGCAACACGGAATTGTAACGTTCTTGGTCAAAATCGCTATAGAAGATGATGTTTTGTCGGACAGAAGTGCTCTGAAGCCATGCCGTCTGAGGAACATATGCGACATCATCCGGGCATGTGACGAGTCCACTGGCAAGATTCGTTTCGCCTAGCAAAGAGAGTAGAAGAAGCGACTTGCCGCTTCCTGTCCCTCCACTTACCACGTTGAGAGCCGCCAGGCGAAACGAGACTGAGACATCGCAGAGCGTAAAGGGGGAGTGTTCAGACCACCGCACAGTGGCATCCTGCAACTCTGGCGGACCGTGCGGATGGCTCTGTCGTTCCGCGGCCGCCTCAAGGAAGCTATCGACCCGGATGAGCGAGCCGCGAGCCTGCGAAACCCATTGGATTACTTTGCACAACCAGACGAACTGCGATCGCAATGTTTCGGTAATGGCTACAGATGTAAATGCCATGGGTGCGCGCAAAGGAGTATTTGTGAAAAGTACAAGAGAGACGAACATGGCAAGTAGGCTGACGAGGGACATCAAGTCTCCAGTCATGGAGACGAGCATGGAGGTCACATTGCGTTTCCATATCCTTTGCTGTTCGGTTTGCCGAATAGAGTTGATATTATCGACAACCATGGGCTCCCATGCGAAATACTTTATTGTAGGGAGCGCATGTAGATACTCGGACAGACGACTCAGCCTGAGGTCGGTAGCCTCCATGACATAACGGTGTAGTCGCGACATTCGCTGCGAGAATATGGCAGGAAGAGGCGTGAGGACGGCCATGACGCCTATTCCGACGAGCGAGGGCCAGCCCAGGAGCTGATACAGAAAAGTCATTGCCACCGCTGTCGAAACAAGGCTCGCAGTAAGCGCATAGAAAAGGTCGGACGAATTCGATATCATGTCGGCATCATAAGAAACAAGACCTTCTGTCTTCACAGAATTTGGCATTGGAGAGTCTATTGGTTCTTCTTCTTGCGGCACATCCGGAGCTCCCGATCTGTAATCTTCATCCGACATATGAATGGACTCCTCGCCTCGAGAACGAAGCATTTTCTGGTAAATTTCCTGGAGCACTGTTGCCCTCCAGAGCACCATGAGTCTTGTGCTTTTGAAAATGGACTGCTGATAACAAACGGAGCGAGTCATAGGTCCGATAAATAATAGCGAAATCCACACGCCTGGATGGACCACCAACGAAGTTGAGTTGGGGTTCTCTAGGTACGCTAACAAGTTGAACATGGCAAAGGCTGCAACATATTCAACCATGGCAGTCAAGACTGCCCATGTCAAGATTGAAAGAATCTCGCAGCGGAATGTTTTGCACAGTGAATAAAAGGTCCGTGACCCTTTGAGCCGCACAATTTGAATGCGTTGCAGCAGGCGAGCTGGGGCATCATAGGATGGAAGGCTTGGAAGATCATCAAGGCATAGGTCCCGAAAAGCGCCTCGTAGGATCAGGTTCGTCAACCATCCATATGACAGGTAGTACGAGAACCATGAACAGGTTTCCTCGAGAGACGCTTCATGTTCTGTGGGTGTTGGCGCATCTTCGACTGTCGCTAGCTGTTTCTTAACGAAGCGTGGCGTGATTAGGGCTATGAGTACAATGGTGGCCAGCGAGATCAGCTTGGCTAACCCAATAGACGATATTCCGACGTGAGATCCAATAACTCCAAGTGGAAGTAGTAACTCAGCGGCCTCCAGAATTAAGATTCCGAGTGCAACTTGATTGATTTGATGACTGATATTTGTGCGAATTCCTGGAAAGGGCCTGAACACAACCTGGACTAAACCAAGGATGAATATGTAGCCCACGGAAACAGGCTTCTGCCAGACACCTTCACGGAGGCCACATATAAGTAGGAGAGAAAAAGCCACCGCAGAAGCGACACTCTGCCCAATTGCATACGCTGGAGAAACTGAAGGCTGGAAGACTGGTATCTTGGCGGCCTTGGGGACGACACAATACGACCTCCAGGGAGTGCGTAGGAAGTATAAAGCAGTAAGGGATACCAGTGAAGAGCCCACCAGCAATAAATGAACATTGCCCTGTCTGAGAAAGCTAGAACAGATTTCTAGGCGATGCTCCCAAAGCTCTCTGTGTTTCTCCATCAATATACTATAGCATCAATTGGAGCATGGTTTAATCTTACCTTGGAAGTCTAGCATTCTCAATGAAAATCTGCATGTTTGTCGCCATGGTTTACTTGATCATTGCGAGGATATGGCCTTTCTACCATCAGTCCTGCCTCTTTTTTATTTGAAGCTATATCTGAGGCTGCCTGGGAGATCATAGGGCTGGTTCTAAACCCGGGTGGGAACACTTTAGTATTGGCAAGCATCCGTGCACTGTATGTGACCTAAGCCGTAATTCGACGAGACTTTTTCTTACCATTTCTTTTCTGTCAATGCGGAAATTATACAAGGCTCATTTTCCCCTGTATCATTGAGTTCGTCGAGATGGTCTTGAGATGGATGGAACCAGCACAAGATCCTTGTAGCAAATAGCCGACCAGATTGCCTGATCAGGAAGGGAATTGCCCGACGTCAAGACACTGGAAATCATTTGCCTCAATCACCCATTATTAGTGCCATGTTTTATTGGAGCGAGTCATGTTGATAAGATCCCTTTCCCTTGGCATCCGATAGCATTATGCACCTTTCCATTTTCTAATCCTAGCGCAATTTTCTTCTCGTAATCGCAAACTCGGTGCAAGAACAGTGAGCTAATGTCAGAGGATCCCCCTCGCCACAGTACTACCCTAGAGCAGCGATCAACACACATGAGCCCCCAAGTGGCACCTTCAGTATTATTTACATTCACGCGGGGACGTGATGAAGAAGATGCATGAGGTTTGTCTGCAACTTAGATACTTGATTGTGGAAGAAGATTCTTTGTCTTTAGAGCGTACTGCTACTAGATGTAAATAGCCAATATGCAGTATAGCTTTGCAACCCATCATGGGCAACAGGCAAATTACTCAGGAGATAGTGCCAATAAAAAAACGATAACGGAGGAATCGAAGCCGTCCTCGATCTTAGCAGGTTCTTACTATCATGCTTATTTACATTCTATGTTTTCATCATTGGTTCTTCCCCATCACCGTCGTCCGATACAAATGCCATCACTTATCTGGCCAATGATCAAAATTCCGGATAAGATCTATCAAATTCCGCAGTTAGCCTCGCTGGTGATAAATGGTCGATAACAGGGGATATAAGAGAGTAAAGGGGTCAGACTTACCATAGTAAACCCTCATTCCTTCCAGGTGAGCTGTCATCAACATGCGCTCGTCTGTAGCATGCGTATCCAGTCTCGTACCGTCCCTAGCAGGAGTATATCGGTATATATTTTTCGTCAAGTTCCAGTAGTGAACAGTATCCGTATTTCCAGTCATGATATTGCCGACTGGCACGACGGACTTGTTCTGGCCGCTCGTTGTGCTCTCGAATACGTGGCGCAGCGTGCCACTAAAGGCCGCCCATACATCGTTGTCGGTGGGAGATAGCGGTGACGGAGCAAGGTTTTGCAAAGATCTGAGATGAAGGACTCCTGCAGACGCCGTCAAGTTTGTGTCGGTAGAGTCAGTGTTGATCCCACTAAGCTCGTCGACTAATAAAAGGCTGTGATTCTTCGCAATAGGCTGGATGATATCCCGGACATGGTTATTAACAAATCCTACAGACTCGTGTAATGCCACCCGATGATTAATTAAGATGCTGGCACTTTCCGGCAAGGCATTCACCTTGACGCCGCCGGTCACTACATCCACGGCTTGGCTTGTCTGTAAAAGCCACTTGTCGTCACTCAAGACCTCCGCAAGCTTGCGAGCAACACCTTCCTCGCTGTCGTGAAGCAATGCATCGCTTAGCCAAGGAGGGGCACTGTCCGGCGAGAATTTGGTACTGCACTCGAGTGCCCGACGGAAAGGGCTCCATTGCGGTAAAGACGGCAAGTATGTATGGTCCTCCAATGCAACAACGACTTGGGAAATTATGCCGATGGCTGTATGTGGCGGGGGCCGGGAGCTGTGGCCACCCTGCACAGTAAGGCTGATTTCAACATCATAGTATCCTTTCTCGCCCACGCCGGGATAAGCGTACATGACATCGCCCAGAGTCTTTACGCCCATGCCTCCTTCATCCATTAGAAAGAGGAATGAATCTTGCCCCCATTGTTCGATGAGTGCATCATTGAGCTGCTTGGCTCCTCGATGACCGCCAGTCTCTTCGTCAAAACCAAAAGCGAGCACAATTGTGCGTTGAGGCGCGAATTCCTGCGAAAGCAAGCTTTCCATGACTGAGAGCAGCCCAATGAGAACATTTTTGCAATCGCCAGAACCTCGACCCCAGACCCAGGACCCATCATAGTGACCTGAAAAGGGCGGGTATTTCCATTCCGCAGGAGACCCTGCTGGGACAACATCCTGGTGTGCCGTGAACAAGACCGGCTTTAGGGATGGGTTACTACCATGGAGCGTAAAGAGTAGCCCGTAGGTGTTGACTTTTTGCTGTTCGAAATGTGTGTGGCTAATAGTCGATCGGTCAGTTAGTGACAGCCACCATCAGCAAATCGCGTACGTTTTAACCCGGAGAAAGGGACATGCATACACAAGTGGGAATAGCTCTTCGAGGACCTGATGAAAGTGACCGAAAGTTTCCCACCGAGGGTCCTGGTCAACTTCGCCGTTGTCATCAAAATTTTCAGTGGGTAAGCGGACAGCTTTGCTTAGCCGTTCAGCTTGAACCTTTTGGTGCTCCGGAGTCATGAAAGAAATGCTATCCTTGACATCGTCATCTGGAGGTTCTATGGCATCAACTAGAGGGCACCAACCATCAATTGCTAGCCAGCTATCATGTCCTTGCTCTAAGGATTCTTGTATGGAGCGATTGATTGATTGATCTTGTGCCAGGATGTAATGCAGCGAATAATACAGCATCGAAGAAGCAACCAGAATCCAGATCACCCACACGCCGGGTCTTCGTAGCTGGACTCGCGAGGTGAAGTCAGGCTCCCAGATGACGTTCGGCATTGATGATTTCTCCCCCATTTTGGTGTTTGGTTATCAGCGAATGGTGAGTACAACTTGAGATCTGAATAGCGAATGATGGCCTAATGTTGATATCTATGAGACCTCCGACGCGTCTCATTAGATAGCAAGAGGGGCTAGAGCTGGCATCGGGGCCCTTTGGTATATTGACGCCCTTTACTACTAGCTTTGCTCAACCAACCCAAAAGTCGCCGAATGGAGAGCTGATCCGATAGGATTGCCTTTTTTAGAAAGAGGGATGCGAGCGAGCTACAACCCCGCAACCGGATCCGGCACTCAATAGGTCCACGTCGTTTGGATCTTAATGTTCGTCTGCATGAGCCTTAGGATGTAGAAGGATAAGTGCCAGCAAGGTTTTATCATAGAATGAACAAACCCGTGCATTGCTTCATTGCATCTAGGTAGTCAACTCTGGCGCCTTGGGACCCTTGTTCCTTGATCACATAGTCTAGCAAGGCCCTTGTCTTGGTGAAGTTGCCTCCCCATCTCTCTGCCTCGGACAGTGTCCTCAATACCCAGTCTTGCTGGATCAAGTCGGTAGTCTCGATTCCGGCCAGGAATAGAATGCGCGGCCAGATATTTTGCGGAGATGGTGGGCGTAGGCGACAGACCCAAGCTGATATGCGAATAATTCGCGTGGCCGCTACTTCGCCAGAGATGAGCTTGTCGGTGGGTTCAAGGTGCCCTATCTCCAAGGACGGAAATAGCCTATGGAACTCGATTATAAGGCTGTAGCAGGCTGATAGTAGTAGTAGATTGTTGAAGACGTTGGTTGTGATTTTACCCTTCACCACCCTGGAGGAGTTATGGAGGATGATATCTAGAGCATTTGCAATAACGGGGGAGGATTCCAGACGTCGTTGTAGTGAGAGTAGTTCCGACTGTATCTCAGACCAAATGGTGGGCGGAGCAGCCAGAACCTGCCGGTGTAGGAGGGCGAACCGGTTATCTAACAGGTCAAGGTCTAGGTTTGATTGGAGGGATAACTTTAAATGGGATGAGCTGGCTGTCTCGCCGTGGGTGGCATCTGGGAATAATGCCTCCAAGAAATCATAGCTTGCGCGGAAAAGCTCAAGACTCTGTAGCAAACGGCCTGTGCCTCCGACCCACGAGGCCCTGGCATCAAATGTGCCCAGCCACAACAAAACACGGGTGCCGATGCGACCGAGCAGCAATGGCGATGGTGACTGCTCAGTTGCCCCGGCTTGTCGGCGTTGTGCGTCGAGGAGATCAGCAGCGAATTCGAGGTGGCGGCAGGACGAGTCGATCCCTGGAGAGGCCAGCAAGTCGAATTGAAGGGCGAACCAGATGGCCACCAGCGCCAGCTCGAGGTGGCGCGAGATATCACGGTCTTGGTGAAGCAGAACTATTGCGTGACTGTTCCGCTGCTCGGCTACGTCAATCAGGTGGGTTTGGCGCTTGGTCTGACCCAGATGCATAGCAGTCCAGGCCATAATGGCATGGTACAAGGGAGGGTAGAATAATGCCATGTTACTGAATATCTGGGTGTAAATATTCTCATCAGCAGAACCGCGGAGCTTTGCATACTGGGACATGACATTCAAGTAATGCTGAATTAGGCTGTGGTCAGCAGGTGCTATGGTAACTTGCCCACTCGCTTCAGAGGAGATGCTCCGGTTGTCGTCCTCGTCATATCTTTGGAGAGTTGCTGCGGTTACTGCAGGCGCTGTGCTCAGGATAGGTTCATAGGGTAATGGCATCCACTCTTCACCCAGTGAGTCAAAGGTTAGGTTGAGGTCGAAAAACCCAGACATTGGCATGGGGTCTCTGCCAGTTTCGACACATTGCATGGGAGTGACATGTGGAAGAATCACGTCCCGATGGCACTGGCTGTTGATGTTGTCATGTGACAACGAAGGTTCTGATGCCTCTGCGTTTACGTCCAATAGCGAGAGGGGCAACGACCGTGTGTCCCAGCCAGAACCAGTGTGCTGCAGTGTTAAGGGCCCGTCGTCACCGGACTGCTGCTGGACGATGCTTGTGGTAATGGGAGGGGCGACTAGCATGGGATCAACTTGGGAACACTGGCTCAAGGTGGAGTTGTACCCATCATTGGCCGGAGGGGACCGAAAGCTGGGACCTGCTTCAGACGCGGTGGAGGAAAGAGCACCGGGAGAATCATTGATAGGCTCTGGAGGTTGGGGGGTTACTTGGATCTCCTTGGCCTTGGTCGGAATCTCCGTCTCCACCACGGGCCTGGGATAAGACGAGTTGACAAAACGCACGCGGAACTTAGGCGCTCCCCCAGTGCCAGAGTCCGCCGGGCCAGAGCCATACGCGCAGGGTAAATTCAGGCGCTCGCATGCGCTGCACACGGGCTTCCTCTCATCACAGCGGACCTTGCGGCGGCGGCACGCCCGGCAGCCTACGGCATAATTCAGCAATGGGCATAGAGAGAGGCGCATCAATCACATGGATACAAACCTGTCTTGGACCTGTGCAATCGGCCTCCGACCATACTGGATCGGCCAACATCAAACTGAAATCGTAATGTGATGTGTACTTTGATGATTGTGACTGATGATGGGTTGGTTTGATGTGGAAGTTGGGGGGCCGAGCATGGCTAAATGAGGGAATAAACAAGCGAGGCCATCAAAGTGGATATCTGGAAATAGCCAATGGGGTCCTTGCACAGATAGCAGCCGTCTTTATTAGGTAATTGCTTCGGCTACCCAGTTCCGGGGCTCCGGACTTGATGACTTTCCATGTACATGACTTGATCACATAGGTAGTGAATCAGAACCTGATGCCGGCCTAAGTGACTGGTGTTATCTTCTGAGTGTACGCCTCAGTAGCTACCCCAGGATTGTCTAGTCATTTTGTTAGCCTATCTATCTCCGTTCACGAGGCAGGGATAGAAGATTAACTGGTACGTGGAGATGAAAGCATGAGCGATAACGGCCCCGCATGCACACGCCATTCTAGACCTGGGGTTTGGTTTGCTACCTGCAGAAGGATTAGTGCATCAAGGACTTCAAGTGTCTTATCTTCCACGGGCTGAGTAGAAATAGAATCGACGCTCGGCCTGCGAACCTTGATGATCGCCTACCTTGCAGTCCCGGTCAAGCAAGCTCCTCTCAAAACGAAGAACGTAATCATCCACCAGCACCATTTCAGCAATCATGTCTCAAGATGTGGAGAAGAAGCTTTCCGAGCTGCAGACCTCCTCGGTCAAAGAAGAACCCCTCAAGGATGTTGACCAAGCTTACCAGTTTGCCAAAGAGCACTGCGCCGGTCCCCTAAGCGATGAGGACAACCGGCGCATTCTGCGCAAGATTGACTTCCATCTCCTGCCGCTGGTAAGATGCCGCAATTTTACACGATACAAGCCTGGTCGAGGTGGCTTCCTACCACGAGCTTAATGATGCTGATAATTGTGAAAGATGGTGATAACATATACGCTCAATTTCATGGACAAAAATGCGCTTTCGTACTCGGCCAACTTTGGATTGATCGACGATAATGTAAGTGTTAACAGCCTTTTGCTCTTACTTATTTCTGCCCTGGTTTACCAATTGATTTGACTAATTACCTTTCACAGCACCTCGTCGGGAACCAGTACAGCTGGGCCTCTGGTTCCATATTCTACCTTGGTAAGCAGCGACGAACCATATCGTGTCTCACATCTATGCCTCTGGACATGTGACTGACGTATGCTGCCTTTAGCGTATATGGTTTCCCAGCCTGTCGTTGCTCGCTTGGTCGTTCGCTTCCCGGTTGGCCGTTTTGTAGCATGCGCCACCATCCTGTGGGGAGCAGTGCTCATGACCTTGCCTGCTTCTAGGTCCTTTGCTGCTTTGATGACCATTCGTGCCCTTCTTGGCTGCCTCGAGTCCTGTATCAATCCTGCTTTTATCATCATTTCGTCCCAATGGTGGAAGCGAGAGGAGCAGCCTATGCGTATCACCTGTTGGTACCTTGGAAACTCCATCGGCCAAGTCTGTGGAGGTCTTCTAGGTTACGGCATCGCCCATATCAACTCCTCCAGCGTGCCAAACTGGTCCTGGTTCTTCATCATATTCGGCGCCATCACTATAGTCTACGGGTCCTTCCTTGTCTACTATCTCCCAGACTCTCCTATGAATGCACGGTGGCTTTCGGAAGAGGATCGTGCCATGGCTATTGAGCGCGTCCGCAGCAATCGCACCGGCATAGATACCAACGTCTGGAAGTGGTCTCAATTTAAGGAATGTATCACCGACATTCCTTGTTGGTTGCTAGTTGCGACCTTTTTCTTGGATGACATCCCCGCTGGTGGCGTTGCTTCATTTGGAAGCATTGTTGTCAAGGGTTTCGGTTACAGCACACTCTATTCCACACTTCTTCTCTGCCCTTTGGGAGTGATCCAGGCGATTTGTCTTCTATTTGGAGGCTGGATGACTTCCCGATTCAAGAACATCCGCACATGGCTCATTGCTGGTATGTCAATTCTTGACCGAACCCCCCCTCGACGCATTACATCATTAGTCTTGAATACTAACACAACTGCACGATAAAGGTTGCCAGATTCCCGCTCTTATTGGAGCTGTGCTGCTATATACCTTGCCCAGGTCCAACCAACGTGGGCTCCTTGGCTCCTACTATATTGTCCAGACCCACGGCATCGTGGGTACTCTGACCATGTCCTTGGTTTCCAGCAATTTTGCAGGCTACACGAAGAAAGCCACCGCCTCCGCCATGATGTACATTGCTTTTTGCGTAGGTCAAGTCGTTGCTCCACAGCTTTTCCTCTCATCCGAAGCACCTGTGTACGAGACTGCTTTCCGCGCCTCTTTCATATGCTTTGCTTTGTGCATCGTCGCCACTATTATACTCAGATATTACTTGATTTGGGAGAATAACAGGCGTGACCGCTTGGCTCTGGCGGAAACTGTTCCGACCACTGAGGGTGAGGAGTTCCTGGACTTGACGGATAAGGAGCAGAAGCATGTCTTCCGGTACGTGTTATAGGTACGCCTCCCAGCGTCCCCAACTTGGGATGCTCATTTCGGCCCCGGTTCCCGCCGAATATAATTAGCAGGATGGAAGACGGAAGACGGGATGGGTGTATTATTCATGTTGGTAGTTGCTGGTGGCGAATGATGTATGCTCCACTCAACACTCACTCATTAGTCGTAGTTCGCTTGGATATGGATGGCTAGTGTGCCAAACCGCATACTTCCTATGACTAGCTGTACCTTGTTTAAGCCAAACGGATTTAATATACCTCGTTTGAGATGTTCTTTCTCAATCAGATGATGAGTTTCACTGGGAGGCTTGAAGAATATAGGCAAATCTTTTTTAAAATTGAATTAAACATCTTTTAACAGAAAGAAGAGTTAAATTTGACTAGACATATGGAAATAAAACAACACAATGCGTTAAAACAAAATAAACATGTGGCCTCTGGAGTAAAAGCCAGGAGTCCTACAATTGAAACACGGAACCACTTGTAGCGAATGTGTATTTATTGTTAAGGCCGACTTTGCCGATTTTTCATCATGTCTCATGGAGGCCCAAGATCGGAACACAATGTACTGGATCTATGCTACGACCAATAATTGTTACAATATCTAAAGTATCAGCGGTTCCAGAAACGTGCTATCTTGCTGCAGCTGAATACTGATGTTACGCTTACAGTCCAAGTTGGTGAGGGCGGAAACATATGAGAAAATGCGTCCCGTATTTCTAAGAAAAACTATAGTTTATAAAATTCCTAGATCATGAGTAAAAGGGGCTCGATTTTGAAGAATTACTTAACGGAATGGTGGACTTGTGCCGTAGTGATGTCTCGAGCTAGTAAAAACGCGTGATAAGATAACTCATCTCATTTTGGTTATGTAGGGGGCCGATAAGTCGGCCATTGGTCGTCGGTAGTTGCTTTCCCAATACGGCATTTATCAAGCGAGCAACATCTCGAGGGTCGTTTGCATTTATCCTCTGGCTAATGATGTTCAGCGAGAGCAGTTGTATATGCTCTGTATGCTCAAAATAGCCTGTAAGACGCTATAAAACGTAGGGCTAATATTTGTCTTTCGACCGTTGTGCAGGTTATGGTGACCCTTTCACCCCTTGGCACCGCTGAATTCGAGATTTGGCCACTATGAAAAGCAATCTATTGGTGGACGGCCGATCGCCCAACTGGCAAAAACCACCTCGCGCGCCAGCATCTATGTTAAGAATGATCGAGAAGAATTTTCTGCTTTGCTGTATCGTCGCCGTTCTAACGACCTACCTGCTTGTTGGCCATAACTGGCAATATTCATCACCAGAGAAGGGAACCCATCAAGGGCATTTTACGCTACCGCCAGAAGACCTTGAGTATGGGCTGGAACAGTGTGCTTCAAACCAAGTAAGACCCATCGTGAATTGGGATTCAGCGGCGACCCGTCTTGCCAAGGCTCGATCTGGGCCGCGGACTATCCTAAGAAATGCGACACTCATTGACGGAGATGGACAAGTTACTCCTGGCTGTACTATCGAGATGCAGGATGGGATCATCGTCAGTGTGAGTACAGTGGCCTCATTATCAGAGAGTGCCACTCACTCAGCCGATACCACGGACATTGACTTGCACGGCCGAGTCGTTACTCCAGGCCTGGTTGACATGCATTCCCACATTGGAATCCGCGAGACCCCTCAGCTTTGGGCAACAGAGGATGTGACTGAAAGTTCCTCGCCTGCTACGCCCTGGGGTCGAGCTGTTGACGCCATCAAGGCTAGTGACCAGGCATTTCCGGTGGTTGCCAGTGGAGGGGTCACCACATCCTTGGTTTTGACAGGTGCGAAAAACTCTATATCTGGAGAAGGTGCGGTTCTCAAGATGAAGAGAGGAGAATCAGTGAGCGACCTCCTTGTTAATCTGACCGAGTTCGGTGGAAAGCCTCAGCGCTATCTGAAAATGGCCATGGGCGAGAACCAGAAGAGACAGTTCCAGAATGTCCCTGGCGGGCCAGTGTCGAGGCTCGGTGAATCATACGTCTATCGTAAGGCGTATGACAGCGCGAGGAGAGTTAAACAAAGCCAGGATATGTGGTGCGAGATGGCAACGACACAGGCCGGCCGAGCAAGACTTGCGACAGAATACCCACGTTCGCTGGAGTGGCAGACTCTAGTCGATGTCCTTCGTGGTGACGTACGCGTCAACATCCATGGATATGAGACTGAAGATATCCTGGCAATGTTTGATCATTCCGATGAGTTTGGGTTCAATATCACAGCCTTGCATCACGGTTTGCACGCGGATTCCGTTGCCGATGAGGTAAAAAGAAGAAACGTTGCGGTAGTTGGGTTCACCGACTCGTGGGGTGACAAATGGGAAAATTATAATGTCAGCCTCTACTTTCCAAAGAGGATAGCAGATCATGGAATTCCTCTTGCTTTCACGCGTGATCATCCGGCATTACATGGTCAGTTCCTCATATACGAGGCCCAAATCGCTCACCACTTTGGCGTTGACGCCGAACTGGCGCTTTCGTCAGTGATGTCAGTCCCAGCTCATCTGATTGGTTTAGATAACAAGTAAGTCATCATCATCTACAAGTCACACACAGTTGGGGTGCTCGGGCTTACACATGGCCAAGAATAGGATTCGTACGCCCAGGCTACGACGCAGACCTGGTAGTTTGGGACAGACATCCGCTCAGGGTTGGCGCCAGCCCTCTTCAAGTCTTCATCGAGGGTCAAAGCGTAGTTAGAGCCGCTTCTGGCGTGTGGCACCGATCACGACAACATCTCAAAGATGCTCCTCCGTCGAGGCCTGAAACCGAAACGGACAAGACGATTAATAATCTCGTGGGCCAAGAAAATGTGGTAATCACTGGCCTTACTAACAGTTTCATCGGTGTCGATAATACACGAAGTCAAGAGCTCCAAGGGTCTAATATGACTGCTATCATACAAAAGGGGCGAGTAACCTGCGTAGGAGGCGAAGAGTGCGACAACATGGCAAAGCAGGCAGCAGCAGACGGCGTGGCTGTAATACACGTAGATAATGCTTTCATGCTTCCGGTGAGATACAATTCTTCCCGTTTACATCTCCGATTCGGTACACGTTTTCGCTGATTGTTTACTGGCAGGGCCTTACCGTAGCCACGCGACAGCACGGCCTGGCTGAGATGGCCTTGGAACCCTCAACCACAGATGGTTCCTCGTCTGGGGACAATTTTCACAATCCCCCGGAAACTAGGTTTGGGCTCACCCTGGGCGGGATCCATCTGCAGAGTGCCTACCATGCGGGTGTCACTCGTATAGTTACTCCCCCTCTCACCACTGGCTTCTTCCACGGTATCAGCGCGAGATTCAGGGCGGGGGCAACAAGTGGTAAGCGGCTCCCATGATGTCCTTTTTTTTAGCTTCTTTTTCGTGTACTGTGAAAAAAAATACTAACTGACGTATACAAAGTGCTCGATGATGGCGCAGTCTCTGACCCCAATGTTGCCCTCCATTTCACCATCGGACATGAAGCAAAAGGTAAAATCAGTTTTGAGGCCTTGGAATACTTCATGCTAATATAATCCAACGACAGGTCTCTCGACCCCGTCAGTCTCAATACAGATCCAGACACTGCGAGACCTTTTAATCTCCAGTGAACCCTCTCACCCAGCTTTCCAGCGAGCCGCTAAAGGCAGCATCCCCATCGTCGCTCACACAAACAACAAAGACGTTATTGCACATATCATTGCCTTGAAGCGCGAGATAGATGCTCACATAGTCATAATGGGTGGGGCCGAGGCCCATCTCCTTGCCACCGAGCTCTCAGAAGTTGATATCCCAGTCATTGTTGCTCCGTTCTGGGGTTGTGAGCCGCTCTTTTGGGACTCTCGCCACTGCCTTCCTGGACCTCCCTTGACTGAATACTTAGGACCCCAAGTGCTAATCGACGCTGGTGTGACGGTCGGTATTGGCAGTTGGGATAACATGAATAATCACATCCAAAGCAGTATATGGGAGGCATCGTGGCTGGCAGGGCCCACTAACCACAGTTTAGCGCTTGATCTCGTGACTACAAACATTGAGAAGTCCCTGAAGCTCTCGGAGGCTAGGGATGTTGTGGTCTATGAGGGGAACCCTTTTGAGTTTGGAGCTCGTGTTGCGCTGAGTCTCGAGGAGGGAATTGTTCGCAGTTTTTTTCCGAATGCCGATGCAACAGAGTAAGAGGCTATACTGTTCATGCTTGAATTTAGGCATATGAACAAGTAATTCGTGAGGCGATCGCGGATGCCCTATCATTTGGGATGAAAACAATATCATTGACCCTTTCACCGGTAACCTGGTCTTTCTACTCTGTTCTTTGTAGGCAACGGGCTCCATCCTATTTGTGCCTTGCAAAATTGCAGGGATATAGAATCTGGTGCATTTTGCAAAAGAATACGGTTGCGCTGTCGTGAAATTATGAGAGCCACATAATAGGAGGTTCCAGCATAGCTAAGACATGTATTTCTATAGTTTCCTAACTTTTTTTTAGCCCCCTAGGGAATAGTATCAAATTATACAACTATTCCACTAATAGGCTAAGTAGTACTAATTAAGATCACTAGAAGGTTTAAATCTCCTATAGGAAACTACCTTTAAATTAGGCTAAGAAGGCTAGTAGTCTAATTAAGCTACTTACTCAAGGCCATAGAAAGTATTTCTACCAAAAATATCTAAAAATACGGTCATCATAACGTCAACCGCCCCTCCGAGGCCCCAGGTGTCCATAGAGAGGAGAGTGATGTTGGGAAAGCAGGGTCAATAAATACTAAAGCAAACAAACGGAGCCCAGAATATTGGTTGCTCTTCACAGGGGACAATATCTCTGCTTCCGTTCAAATTATCATATCCGATTACCGGATCTTCTCCTGCGCCCTCATCACCTTCATCCTTGGCAATCCACTGATCACGGAGATTTCTAATTGCATGGTGGAGACCTTCTGCAACAGATTTATCTTCCATGTTCCCATTTTTGATCCATGTATAAGTGATCTTCGCGACCTGAGAACAATATAAATCGTTCACTTTCTGCAAAGTTCCGATCACGTTACGGAAACCTGCCAGCTGGCATGCACTGATTAAATGTAGGCCTTCATCCATAAGTTCCTCATCCTCTGTACGGCCTGTGCTGCATGCAGAAAGGTAGGCCAGAAACGGAGCACGATTATGTAGTCTCATATTGAAAAGGTCTTGGACTGTAACCGGCTCATCATTCATCTTCAGCGAACTTCTCAATGGGCTCACCGGATGCGTTGTCCCATGCCCTGCGAAGTGATAAATCTCACATTGAGATAAGTAAGCAAGTGCTTCACTTCGATAAGGGTTCACTCTCTTCGTCTGCAGATTCATCTCAGTGCATAACCCCTCAAGTCGATCAATCTCATCCGACGCGAATGGAAGACTTTTAACGCCAATAAGCACAGCCTCTCCCTTTGTCCTAGATGAAACTGCTGCTCTAGCAGCATTCATACGGCCCTGTATAAGTGCTCTTACAGAACAACTATACACAGAGACCACACAGTCTAGAACGGTCTTTTTTGACCCCGGGTAGTGATATCCAGCCGCATGTAGCGGCATGGATATTAGGGGCCCCGTGGGAACCCAAAAAACACGTGGCCAGGGAGATCTAGTAGGTGGTTCAAGATACCCTAAGATCTTCAAGATCGGGTGGGCGGTTGTGTCCCAAAGCCACTCTAGTATACCTCGGTCAATATCCTGCTGAGCCGCGCATTCTGCTACATCATAATAGTATAACTCCGGAAGCTCTAAACAGATAATTTGATCATGTTTTATGATAAGAGCATCGCAGCGCTCATACATCATGTTGATAATCACTATCGGCCCATGTATTGCCGCAGACTTCAGGTCACCCTTAGATGGGGGCAGTAAAAATCGATTGAACCCCGGTAATTCCCGAATTTCTTCAATGATAGAGGTTAATTCCCGGTCTGCACTATGGCGTGGGTTAGAAAAACCTGTTATCAAGCCTGGCCTGGTGTCTAGCTCATCTTTTAGCCGAATAAACTGTTCGGCTAGATAAGGATGTGATAAGTTGAGCTTGATGGTGTCAATGCGGAGGTCGCTGAGAGAGGTTACTATATTCCCTCTTCCAGATTCAAGATGCTGAATTGCCGTGTATGGTTCCTCTCCTGCCATCAGTGCAAGACCTGCCGTAAAACTAGGTATCCCAGCAACACTACCCAGCAACCTTTGCTTATCCGATATTTCTAAGGACCGTGGAGTAAGTTGAGAGAGTAAAGAAAGTATTTCAGTAGCGACCTGGTACGCAGCTGAAGGATTCCCCACCTCTACCAGCCAGTCGGCCAAACTCTTCCCAGCCCCTATACGAAACATTAGATGCGCTTGTGGTTGTTTAAAGGCCTCCTCTAACGTTCTAGTTGCAGCATGTAGATCCGATTGACTATTAAGTCGTTGAAACCGCTTCTGGTATTCTATGCCAAGGTATTGGAGATAAAGAACTCGAGTTGGGTCATTTTCTAGAGCTGTATCTACCGCTCTCTGGTACGTCTGTAAGGTCATTTCATAGTCCTCTTCTGTTTTTGTTCTTTCAGATTTATCATCGTATAAACTTCCGAGTGCGGAGTATGCTGTTGGTAGCTCTGAGTGGCCTGTAGGGAGGAGAGTAATAATTTGGTTCCGATAACTTATTGCCATTTCAAGATCTTCTAGAGATGCAAGTCTTCGGTATTTAAACTCATACGAATTTGCAAGAGTCTCAAGAAGTTCTGGCTGAAAAGTTTTATCTTGACCCTGGGTGAGAGACAGAGCTTTAGATAGTTTCTCAATGGATTCATTAACATCTTCGCTATGTCCTAGTTGCCTGTATCTGGAATTCAATGCTTTGGCGAGAACATGTAGTAACTGAATTTCGGACTTTCGGCTGTGTGGGCTATTACCAGCCGCTTTTTTCGATAGTGAAATGGTCTGGTCTAGATCCTCTACGTCGTGTCGTTGGTCATATCTTGCTTGAAAAAGCTGCGCTAGCTTCAGGTTTCCTGATGAGTGAAGTGGTTCATTTTCCGGTAAGATGCGCAGAGCATCAACCAGAATTCGAATCGAGATATTAACATCTACGATTGATTGATGCTGTCCAAATCTAACAGCATAGCATAATGCAAGCGATGATTTCAGATTGAATTGTGTTATAGGGGATGAATCAAACGGAATTGTGTTGACCGCTTCCTCACACCAACGAAGAGATAACTCAGCATCTTTCGGATCTCCCAACCGAAAGAATCTCGTTCGGAAGGCCTCCCCTAGGCCTTCCAGTACTAATGCTCGCTCAATAGTAGCTGCAATGGTATTCGCTGGAATATCTAGTGCCTCTTGATATAGTTCGAAACATGCATCGAGGTGGCCTAAATCGCCCGTTACTTTATGTTTCGTGACATATGACCCTCCTAAGAGCATAAGGGGTCTCCGGCGTAAGTCATCACGACTGGATGGGAGATCTAGGACTTCTTGAAGCAAGTGCGTATATTCGTCGAGATCTTCGGCATCACGGAATTGGATCCACCTTATTCCATATGCCTCAGCTAATGGTAGAAGATACTTGGAGCCGATGCTCTGCAACAAATTCTGCAGTGACCGAATGTAAACATCTGTATAGACTTTATCATTTGATGCGATAACTTTTGCACGCATAGCCTTAAACAGCCCCGCCTCTCTGTCTGTTTGTAGGGGCGCTTCTGGTGGTGTCAAGGCTAGTGCCGCCTGAAGATTCTCGATGCTGTTTTCGAGATCTGGGGTCGCTCCCCTCGCTATCCATCGGGAGAAAAATGTCCTTCCGAGATCTTCAAATCGTGATGCCCGTGTTGAAGCATCACCTGGGCATTCGATATGGGCCAGCAACTGCTGAATATCGAAGTCAAGCTTCGCGATGTCGCTGGCCACTTCGGATGGGCATGTGTATACCGTTGGATGAAGGTCCGAAATCAGTGCACCATGTTTGTAGAGTTCATTTTCATATTTTCCTACGAGAAAATAATCCATGGCTTCGTGTATATGTGTTGCAGAAGAAATAGTTGTTAGAGGTTAGGTAGGTACCAAGGTCGAATTGAACAAGTCCACAAGCAGAGCGGGGTTAAAAACGCGTCACAATGGATGCCTAAGGCAGCCTTGTTCTGGGCTATATATAGGTAACTTAGTAAGCAAATTCAAGGTTTATTACATGTAATGATTCTTGGATTTCCTTAATTATGTACTAACCACCTTAATTACTCTTCTAGTATATAATGTATTGCCGATCACTCAATATTGAATATTCCGATCTCCAATACCCTCTCTAGTCCTAACATATCAATTTATTTCAAAATTCATATATGCACAGTTCAAACGATCCGAATTGAGTGAGTGTGGTTTCAAACAACCGGTAGGTTCTATATGTATCAGGCTGGACATCGCAATTGTATTTGCTAATATGAGACTGAAAGATATTTCAGCCCATCAAACAATGCAATTCTGGCCAGGCTAACAGTGGCAAGCAGATACATCTGACTATAAGACGGCTGGAGTATTTCGTTGATTAAATTTTTTTTTGTGGGGGGGTTGGGTTGGAGCTCGCTGAGGTAAGCTGTTCGGCTCAGGAGATTTCTTCTACAATGTCCTGTTTGGGGTGATCCGGAGCCAACAGTGCATCTCGTTCATTTAGGCAGCCATCTCTTTCCTCCTTACGTGACATTTGCAGCTGTTGGGCACCAGCACAATTGAGCCTAAATATGTCTCCTATGAGTTTCCTATGCTGTCCAGCAACGTCTATCGATCGAAGTATATGAATGTGCCAAGAGATACAATGGCCCCCTCTCTGGGTTTTGGTATATTTATCTAAGCCTTCAAGTCCTCAACAGGCTGTTCCGAGAGGAAATCAACTCGAGTGCTAGCCGGCAATGATGCCGTGTCTTGGGATCATGGCCTGTCCTGGGTGAGCAAGGCAATCTTGCCAACTATGCGGTGTCCGAGAGGATAAAGTCCATGAAGCATTTACCTGACAGACAAATGCGCAGCTACTCCCAAATCATGCGATGCAGTGTACCTCTCACAATAGTTTTACATACGATGCTACTATCGCCGACAATCTAGAACGGAGATTCTTTATACTACAAGCATCGGTCGACTTTCGAGCCAGTGTGCTCCAAGGAATGCTGAAGAGCGGTTGAGGAGTGGACTATTGTTCAAAACAAAAAAAAGACGATTCGAGAACTATGCAACTGTTCAAAATGAGTGGCTAGAGCAACTTTTGAGGGAATACACTCGCGGCATCCCATTCCGTTCAGCCTTCCAACAGAATTCGTCTTCTAATGTACTGAAGATTTGTGTTGCAATCAAGGTAATCTTTCCATGATGAAACAAAGGACCTTTTTCAATGGGGAGTGTTCCCATACTAGAAGGTTTTTCTCTCTCTGACTCTAGGAATAAAACCAGAGGTCATCTGTTACTTGATGGATAAATTTGAGCACAGGATGCCGTAACCGTGCAGTGTGACGTGGTGCTGGCTCTAGGGGATGCCATTATAAGTTAAATGCTCGCTATTCCGTCCCCACGAGGGATCGAAGAGCTAGCTAATGAGGACCAGCGTAATCCAGACCCCCTGGCTTAGATTCTCATTGCTTTAAGAACTAAAAGCCCCCCCGACCCCGTGATCCCATATGTATCATGCACGTTACTAGTGACTACTAACCGGACAACACCACCCCCGCGACGTTATGCTTGATGCCCAATCGACACCCAAACTATTTAATTACACTCCTGAGCAGAGTAACGGACACAATGCAATATCTTCGTTGTATGTCCTAGAATTTACAAGGTAATCCCTGTACTCAAATTTTCGCAATGCGCTTCCTACACGCGAAGACATACCGTTTTAAGGACTCGCATGACCACCTCCAGGCTGAACGCTATGCCATTCTGTCACACACAATGACCATCCGCGAGATAACCTTCAAAGACCTAACAGTAATTCCACGACACATCCTACTAGGATGTGTTGAAATTTGGTGGGTGAATTTTCGCGCTACTAAAAAGTAGGGGGTAGGATGTGTTGAGTAGGATGTGTTGATTAATTGGTCAATAATTTTCAGGGACCCACAAAAGATAGCTATTTACCCAGTATTTAACCGATATTTCCGATATTCCCGCCAGGAATATCATTCACCCGGTATGTCGGTGAGGCCTCAACCAAACGCCTAGTTAAACCAGGCCTCATCGAGATCCTCAGCCGCACTATCTACTACCTTCGAAACCTGCTTTATTAACATATTCAACCTTAATACCTTATAATCTATAGTATTATACTGAACATAATGGAGCCATTTATCCATCTTATACAATATCCATTTATTATCTGCAAGCAGTGCAGTTATGCATGCGTTACCAAGGAAGTGGAAACACATCTCCAAGCTCAACACCCATTATTCACAATATCCCAGAGAAGAGAAATCAAGGCAGCTATCCAAGCCATAGATGGGCTTCTACAGGATCAAGAAGAACTACGTAGATATCCATTACCAATATATATCGCAGAGCCAGTACCATATATCTCCCCGCCAAGAACAGATGGGAAGCAATGCAAGCAGTGCCCATATATTGCTTGTACAGAGGTTGGGATACGAGACCATTGCAGGAAAGCACACCAATGGATCAGTAATTGGAAGAAGGGTGGTAACATCAGGAAAAAAGCAGCAGAGGCTCGCGATCAGCCATGGATAAGCGGTGTGCATTGCCAGCGGTTCTTTATCCGAAGGGCTGCGAGCAGCTGGTTCCGTGTTGGCTCAGGTGGAGAGACTGCTAGCCCTGACCATACCGGCCAAACAGAAGCAGCGATTGAAAGAGTTCAGGAGCTATTTAGGGAGGAGGCAGCGAAGGAGGCGCAGGAGACACGAATGATCATCCAGGTTGGTGATGACCGGCTTGAATCCAACGGATGGCTCGAGTTTGTTGGCTGGGCAACGCATCTCCAGGGGCTATCTGTTACCAAGCTCTACAGTACAAGGCAGGATATCCGGGAGGAGGAGACAGCACTGCAGTCAGCATGGAAAGTGATGGAGTATGTGCTCAACCAGGCACGGGCAACTGCGACAGCCGCCAAGGTGGGCAAGGCTGCATTATTCGAGGTGGCCCGAACCGCTCTAGAAGGGAAGCCTAATCGGCCATTTAACAGTAGAATGGAGGAGGATACTTGGAAGCGGTATAGGGATGTGTTCCGACAGATACTATGCATCATCTATCGTGTAGATGAGATGGCTGATGATGAGCGACCGCCATTCATCTTCACAACAGCACAAGGCGATCATTGGGATACATTCATCGAGGCTATGTCTAGCGAGGATAGGCAGCAGGGTGATCAACCCAGCCAGGATGAACAGGATCTATGCCTAACCCTACTAATCAGCTGGTTTGATCATGCACTGAAGGGGGATGCATACCGAAACGTGCTGGTGAGCTGCTTGGCCGTCATGGGCATCCGGCAAGATGGAGGGTGGGAGTCCGTGCTTAACTACACATCGATCTACTCAGCCGTGATCAAGGTAGCACGGATGCTCGTGCTATATCAGTCATACTGTGAGCGGGAGGCGCAGGTGATCCAGCACTCGCAGGCGATGGAGGCACATGATGCCTATGAGGAAGCGGAGAGCGTGTTCCGCATACTGCGCGGCAAGATGGCACGGTTCATGGTACGGGTGCACGGGGGGCCCACGGCCGAGCCGACACCACTAGACTGGATCTTCGAGGCACGAGCATACGGGATGAACATCCGATATAACACACCGGGCAGCGGCAGCATCGAGTGGTTAGATGATCGCGTGAGCTACCAGACAATCCGGTTCCGGGTGCCGCAGCTGGCGGAGATGCTACACACGCTCGTGCAAGAGGCGGAGAAGCTGCTCGGGGCACTAACGCTAAACCCCCCAGGTACGGTAGACGGACTCCCAGAGATCAGATGGGAGCAGTTCGAGGATGACCAGCGGAACGATATAACGGGTTACTCATTCCTGCAGGACCAGCGTAACACATGGCTGCAGGCGGGGGATGGCTGGGTGTTCAAACAGCTCGTGCAGTCCACATCACTCCAGAAGACATGGATCAGCACAAGCGCTAGTAACAAAGAGCACCCACTCAAACAAAGCGCCATTCACCAGTATACCGATACATTATTACAGTTCCGGGAGCGGATATTCTTGCTGATGCACATGCTGTCGATGCCGGCGCGTGCAACGGAGATTGCTGGGGTGCGGATGTGGAACACAGCCAATGGCGGGCTACGCAACATCTTCTGCAACCAGGGCATGGTATTCTTCGTAACGGCATACCATAAGAACATCAGGATCAGCGGTCGCAACAAGGTGATCTACCGCTATCTACCACGCGCAGTTGGTTCTCTGCTGGTATGGTATATGTGGTTGGTTCTACCGTTCTGGCGGAAGGTACAGGGTATCATCTGGCAGCGCAGTGGTGGACCCAGTGTATTTCTCTGGGCGGACGAGGTGATAAAGAGGGCGGCCAACACGGACGGATCCGCACAGGCGGCACCAGAGCCCGAGTCAGTATGGTCACCGGATCATATGCGGCGGATTCTCCAGCGGCAGAGCGAACGGTGCATGGGGACCACGCTCACCATCATCAGCTGGCGGCATATCGCCATTGCTATCGCCAACCGCTATCTAAACGAGGCTTTCCGTATAGAAGAGGATACTGGAAGTGTAGAGGATGAGGAGGAGGACGATGTTAACGGTACCACATCAGACCATATACTAGACATCCAGGCAGGGCACGGGAGCCACATCGCCGGTATGATATATGCGCGAGAGCTCCAGCAGCCGACATTCGGGACAGCGCAGCAGCAGATCAGGTTCCAGCGGATCAGCCAGCGGTGGCATCGGTTACTGGGGTTCGACACGCACGAGAGAGGACGGGCAGTGGCCGGAGAGATGAAGCGGACGCTGGAGGCAGCGGAGCTACAGCAGGAGAGCGGTCGGTACCAGCGCTTCCACCGGCTA